CAGCAACCTGGATGGAACTAGAGTCTATAATACTGAGTGATCTCTCACAGAAACAAATATCTGAGTATCACATGTTCTCACTCATATAGTGGATCTTGAAGACCCAACATAATACTATAAGAAAATGACTGATAGTGGTGGGAAACTATGGGGGGGAGGGGAAGGGAGATGGGATTAACAGTAGTAAATATCTGTCTGGGGATGGGGAGACACCTCTTATCAACAAGAGTGCCTGAACAAAGCATATTTGTATACCTAACCCTTAACTGTACCCCACAATATCATAATAAAAAATATTGATTAAATTAAAAAAAGAAAGAAAAGTCTGCTGGTATTTCTACTCTTAACCTCCTATCACCTTACCCATAAGCTTCATGGCTCCCCAGCTGTTCTTGGTGATTTTTCACCACATCTGTGTTTCTGGTTGATAAGCCTGGCATCACTGCTCACTGCACTCCAACCAAGGTCTTAGGATCCTTTATATTTATTATCATTGCTTAAAAAAAAAAAAGACTTCCCCATTTTAGAACATTTTAAACATTTTCTCAGTCCATCCATTAGGATAATTTTAAAAATTCTATTGACTCCTGTATTTTGTTGGAGTATTTTTTTCTGTCGTTGTAGAAGTGACCTCAGATTGGACAAATGAAGCCATGTAGCTGCAAGAGATGCTTGGTTGCCTTCCCTGAGGATGGCCACGTCTGTGCAGTATCTCAGGATACCCCGAAGGTGCAGGGTCAGTACACAGCTTATATGACAGCCCGAGTCCTTCCCCCGTACACTCTCCTGCTTGCCTGCCTTTCAGTCCCTTCCCCAACTCCTCCCTGAATCTTGCCCCAAAGGGGATGCTTTCTTGTCCATGTGTGTCCCCACCTCTGGCTAAGAGCTTCCTCATTTGCTTGTGACTTTTTTTGTATAGTGGCATTCACATGGAGAGGATGGAGGAGGCTAGTGAGATTTAGGTGGTCAACAGCAACTGATTTCTTGGCTCATCTCATTTTGTGAGATGAGAAACAAGAATGTAATCATGTTCCTGTCTCCTTCTTCTCATGGCTTTGTGATCCGTACATTTTCCCTAAGTTTACTGACTTAATTCTATTATAAGAAATTGTTCCTTCTATCTCACCTTTCTCCAAGACATAAAGATCCCCCTTGACCGATACTGCCCAATACTCTATCTAGTTTTGTCCTTCCTTTTATTTCCAAGGTTAGACTGTGAGCTCCTTGTAGGAATTCCCTATGCTTCATATATCTTGATATGATCCCCAGAGCCCAACAGTGCAATGGACATGACAACAAACAATATTGTATTTGTTAAATAAGAAAACTATTGTTAGTTAAATGAGTTATCTTATTTTTGAAAAATATGTAAAAAGAATTATTTCTACAACACAGGCACCAAATTATATTTGTAAGATCAGTTTTCTTTCCTAGACACAGAATCCCAAACGTCTCTTCATCTTGAGAGAAATAATGCTAGAAAAATAAACACTGACAACCAATTCTCAAAAATAATTGAAGAAAGAAGGATTTCTTAAATGAAGATAATATTTATTGAAGAACAGTTAACATGTAATTTTGAAGGTCAAAGCAAGTATAACAGTGGGCTCAGACTAGCTGCATCATGTGTTTGAAGTCTGAATGCAGGAACGAGATACAGGGGGACCATAAGCGGCATTTAGTGGAGATGCATGCCCTTTCATCAGCTGCTTAGTGGTATGACAGGATAGGAAAGCAGGTGGCCACGTAACACCCAGACGAGTTGTATAACTGACACTTTCACATTGATGTGATGGTAGCTGGCTCGTGGCTGATAGTCAGATATGAAGTTCAACAAGAGGACCCATAGCAGCTGGGGCGACAGCAAGTTGTACGGCAGCATGTGGTCTGACAGCAGACTGGGCGGCAGCAGTTGGACAGGCCACAACTGGGGCGGCAGATGGTCTGACAGCAAATTGGGCGGCAACAACTGGACAGGCCACAGCTGGGGCGGCAGGTGGTCTGACAGCAGACAGGACGGCAGCAGCTGGACATGCCACAGCTGGGGCGGCAGCAGGTCTGACAGCAGACTGGACGGCAGCAGCTGGACACGCCACAGCTGGGGCGGCAGGTGGTCTGACAGCAGATTGGACGGCAACAGCTGGACAGGCCACAGCTGGGGCGACAGGAGGTCTGACAGCAAACTGGATGGCAGCAACTGGACATGCCACAGCTGGGGCGGCAGGTAGTCTGACAGCAGGATGGACGGGAGCAGCTAGACACACCACAGCTGGGGCTGCAGCATGTCTCCTGGCAGAAGTCTTGACTACAGCCCTGGTCAGAGCAGACAGAGCCACAGGAGTTGACCATGACGTTAGAAGGTGGAGGTTCTGGGTGGGTTTTCAAGAGAGTGAGGTTCCCAAATGTGGGAATCTTCTTATTCCACGCCTACTTTTATACCCAGCCAAGGGGCTGCTGTCATCATGCTAATGACCATTTCCTTGTTATTGTTTTTCTCAATAGATAAGCAATTATCAAATTGCTTAATTGTGAGAGAATCTGTATACAAGATAGAATGCATTGTTTCTTTCTCTGTGTTCGAGATTATTTAATCCAGTCTTTTCTCCTGAGTCACCTCTTGTCTTCCTCCCTATGCATAACATCTAATTTCACAGACTTGTAATCTTACTCATCCAATCAATTGTCTAGATCATTTCGAACTCAGCATTCTATGTGTCATCCTGAAAGCCTTGTGCCTCAAACCAGTCCTCAAGTAAGACAGTGTTTCTTGTTTTCTAAAGAATCTTGAGAAAAATAAACTCACTGTGGGAGTGCTAGAAGAAAACTTGGACAAAAATTTCTTAAAATATTTGAAGTGAAATGACTTTTCTAAGACAGAAAACTTAGCAGCAATAAAGAAAAGATTGAAAAAAATTTTCCTTTTTAAAATTATTATTTTTTTAAAAATTTAATTTTAAGGTTGTGGGGCACAATTCAGGGAAGGTATACAAATGTTCACTATGCAGGTACCCTTGTTGATGAGGTGGCCCTCCTTTACCTTGCAGTTTCCCACTACTGCCATTCCTTTTCTTATAGTATTACAATAATTGTTCAAGGTTTGCTTTTGAGTGAGAACATGTGGTACTCAATTCTCTGTTTCTGTGATAGATCACTCAGTATTATAGACTCTATGTCCATCCAGGTTGCTGCGAAGTTCACAATTTTGTCCTTCTTTATGGCAGCGTGCTATTCCATCATGTGTATGTACCACATTTTAAAAAATCCAGTCTTTTTTCGATAGGCAACACAGTTGGTTATTGTGAATAATGCTTCAATAAACATGCATGTGCAGGTATCTTTTTCATAGAGTGACTCGAGTTCCTCCAAGTATATTCCCTGTAGAGGGATTGCGGGGTCGTATGGAAGGTCAATTTTTAGATCTTTTAGGAATCGTCAAACTGTTTTCCACTGAGGTTGTACTGAAAATGTACTTGATGTGAAAGAAACAAGTGAACAAATAAAAAGCCTTAAACAAAACCAAAAAACTAAAGAGCAAACTGGAAATAAATGCCTTAACCAATCTAGCAAAGGGAGGAACTAAGGTCCTTAATACAAGAATACCTCTTACAACCCAATAAGAAAAAAAGGCCAATTACCAAATAGAAAATTAAGTAAGGATATTAACTATCATTTCACTAAAAAATAAATTAAAATAACTTTTGAGATTTGTTTTTAAATTTAAAGAAAATAAAATTTTATTTTAAAGATGTGGGGTACAATTCAGGGTTAGGTACATAGTGGTCATCGCACAGGTGAGTTTTTGAAAGATGTTCATTCTCACTTATTTAATTTTTTAATTGAATAATGCATTTATTTATCAGACCATCTACTGAATACCTACTGTGTACCAGATTCTACTGTATTTTCTGGGGATGCAGTAGTTAATAGTTGTTGTTTGCAATTACAAATATAAAATATGTGCTTAAAAACTTTAGAAAGTTACTGACATTACAGGAAACCAACCTTTTCATGCATGGATGCCAGGGGTCTAAACTGAGGGAACTTCTCTAGATAGCAACTAACAATATCTTAACTTTAGCAACATTTTAATGTTATCTCATATCTATGAGTATCTTAAATTAATGTATCAGACTTTGAAATGTGCATGCCTTTTGATTGAGCAATTTTTTTCTAGAAACTTATTCAACAGATACACATAAACATGTACTCCAAGATATAAGTTCAAGGATGTTCTTTGCAGCATTGTTTGCAAGAGTAAATGCCTGGTTTTGAATTGTACTGTGGTTATGGAGAAGAATGCCCTTAACGTAGAAAGCCCACACTAGTGTTTAGAGGTGATGGAGCATCATTTTGTCATAAAGAAAAAAAATCCCTTTGAACTATTCTTGCAGTTTTTCTGTGTGTGTGATTATTTCAGTTTTCAAAAAAGAAACAAAGTATACTATTCCTTTAAATCACACCTACCCCATGCAGACAACCACTTTCTACTTGGACTGAATTATTTAGGAAGAAAAGAAGAAGGAATGGAAGGAAGGCTATAAGAACATGTTTAGAATATATTTTTAAGACTCTATGTTGTTAATATTTTGAGAGTATATGAAAATTATGGAAACTCATTTTGTTAGGCATAAGACTACATGTAACTATCCACTGCATCTAAGTTGATAATGTTCCTACTCAAATTACTTGTGTCTTTGCTTATTTTTCTTCTTCAAATTGCCATTTTAAAAATAATGTGGTGACGTCTCTACTATAATTGTGGTTTTATCATTTTCCCCTGTATTATAACAATTTTTGCACTGAGTTTGAATGTAGCCTAACTGCTATGACAATAGGAAAAATAACATTTTAAAGACATAATTATAATATCATAAGGAAATCATTATCAAGTTCAAAGCAAGTATAGATGTCATGGACTTGAGATTCTGATCTCATTGAGCCACAGATCTATGGTGATTTTTTTTGTTTGTTTAGAGATGGTTGGTCTCTTAGTCTGAATGCAGAGGAGACAGCAGCTTAGTGATACCCCTTCCCCTTAAAAGGACTATAATGTTTTCAACATGGTAGTTAACTTAGGGCTGGTGGTCAGAAATGAAATTCAACAAGAGAATCCATAGGAGATTGGGTGACTACAAGTGGTCTGGTAGGAGTAGGGCCTGCAGCAGGTGAACACACAGCAGCTAGTCCTGCAGCAGGTGTTCTGGCAGCAGCTGGGGCAGCAACAGGTGTCTGGGAAGAGGCCTTGACCACAAGCCTCATCAGAGTAGATGGAACTAACATAGGAGCTGACCATGGTGTCAGAGGGTGGAGGTTCTGAACTGGGTTTTCGGTAGCATAAGGCACTAGGATTCATACATTTTCTTCTTGACAAGTTTCTTCTCTACCTTGCAAAGGAGCTCCCATAACCATGCCCAGGATTATTTTCTTGCTATAAATTATCTTATTTAAAAAGAAATTATTCAATATTCTGATTGCAGTATGACGTTGTTGCCGGTTGCCTCAGTTTTTTAAAAATAGGTATCTGTGTAATTTTCATTTAATCAGCTATTTATTCAGAAGAGCACCGTTTATTTGTCCTCTATATTTGTTTTAGCATCATCTCATCTGTCTCTTCATACCTTTTGGAGTGTGCCATTTGATATTTAAGCATAGACCAAATCATTCTTTCTCCTCCAACCATTTCAATTCCTGTTGCTGAATGAGACACAGAACACAGTTCCTTCAGTCTGAACAATAGTTAGAAGAGATGAAACATGGGTATGTTAATACACACAAAAATCATACCCCAGTGCATTATAGCAAATGGCTGGTGAAAAAAGTCACCATAGCACACTTGTAAATTGTGAAGAAACCAAGAAATGTGGATGGGTTTAAGGCATATGGCTTAAATTTCAACTTGTCAAAAATATGAATTGATTATTCTGTTTCCTTCCAAACCAATATCCCAATTCTCCATTTCTATTGCAAGTTATTGTTAGTTCCAGTTTTCCAACTAGTAAACCTAAAGTCCTCCCTTCATCAATAACTATGTATTGGTTCTCACTACGTGCCAGACTCATTCTCAGGAGAGAGACACAGCGAGGACTGTCCCACTCCATACCCTTTTCCATTCTAACTCAATGAACATCACCTGATCACTTCACAGGAGGGACTGGTAGTGCCATTATCCATGTACTGGACCAACAAACAGGAGGTTTCTCCACCTTTGCAGCCAAGCTCTGGATGCCTCTACAGCAGAGGAAGCAGAAGATCTTAGCCACAACTGAAGTCAGAGCAAAAGAAGCAGAAAGAAGAAATATGACGTTCCTTACTCTGCCTTTGCCCCATTGATCCACATGGTTGAGTCACTGTTGTCTGTGCATTTAATCCACTTATTGGCATTTGTATTTTTAAGCTACAGTTCCAAGGAAAACATTTTAGGTGTCTGACTAACTGCTCTTAAACTTTTCTCTCCACCACTAAAAATAAACATCATGTTCCCATAGTAAGTCTATGCTCAGGCCTGTCGACAGATGTGGTGCTTAGCATGGAAAAAGTTATGTCTATAATAATTGAGTTTTGTCTTCTGCTGCAGGAGATGAGATGCCCAAATGGAGTTGCTGCTATTGTTAGAATTACCGTGGTTGAATCTGTGTTTCTGTGACACAGAGGAAAGCCTTAATAACATATAAATTAAACTCAAAAAGTGTTAAAATAGGACTTGAGTATGTCACCTTGAGTTAATCAACAACCTATTCAAGGGTCGGGGAAAGAAAAACCAGTGGTGGCAATGGTTTTGTCCTCTTTAAGTTAGGAGAACTGTCAGGGGACCAGATTATGTATTCTGTCTTTAAAAATAACAACTCATAGTTAAATGACGCTCTTGATGTTGATCATCTCTCCTGAGTCTGGAAATAAGTTCTTATAGGTTACCTACTATTAAGGAGAACAGTCTAATATATTATATCTTGTTCCTAACACTTAAGGAACACTTTCTCCTTGGGCAATTCCTCATGGATCATGAAAAATAATGTCATAAATAATAACTGGGAAAATTCTGCTAATTGGTCCCAAATTTGGGAACCAGTGTATAAAAGGACCAGATTGGAAGGAGTCATTAGATTCGGGGAAACTCACTGTGGACAGGAGCCCACTCTCCACCTGCCACCATGACCCACTGCTGCTCCTCTTGCTGCCAGCCCACCTGCAGCAGGACCACCTGCTACAGGACCGCCTGCTGGAAGCCCATCTGTGTGACCACCTGCTCCAGCACACCCTGCTGTCAGCCCACCTGCTGTGAGTCCAGCTGCTGCCAGCCCTGCTGCTGTCCAACCACCTGCTGCCAGCCCATCTGCTGTGAGTCCAGCTGTTGTGGCCAAACCTGTAGTGCATCTAACTGCTGTCAGCCTGGCTGCTGTGGGTCCAGCAGGTCTAGCTGCTGCCAGCCCTGCTGCCGCCCCAGTTGCTGCAGCTCATCCTGCTGCCAGTTCAGTTGCTGTGGGTCCAGCGGTTCCAGCTGCTGCCAACCCATTTGCTGTGTCTCCAGCTGCTGCCAGCCTTCCTGTTGCTGATCTACTTGCTGCAGACCCACCGCCCTCCAGAAATATATTCTCTCAACCATTTTGTCAAAGTTTCTGTTCCTGCAAGAAACTTGCTCCCTAAGATTGCTGAGAAATGACACGCTAACACTGAACTTTGCTGTCATCTTTTTTCTATCACACTTGGGATCCTCCTGAGAAAATGCAGCCTACTTCACTTTGATTTTATCTTTTTCATTTCCTCTCGGTCAGTGTGCCAGATGCTGGTCACAGTCAGGTCTATCTAATTGACATGGATTCATGCTCTCAGCCTCAGGAAAGTGTTCATCAGCTTTCGTCCCTATGGAACTTAAAAAAAATTCTTAGGATGCACATCTAACTCTCTACAATGATCAATAACAGTCATCTTTTTAGACACTTGGATTATATTTAGTGGCCTCTGCAGGTTACTAAACTCATGATTACTTCCATGCCTTCCTACCTGGTGTTCCCTAATAAAGTTTGCATTAGCCTGCATCCTATGGTGCGGTTTTTATTTTGTTTGTTTGCACAAGTTCTTTTATGAAGATTTGCTTTTGAGTTGCAGTTTCTATTTATTGTCTCAGTTGAGTCTCACAATGTCCCTACAAGTTGTACAGAGCAAAGATGATCACTCCCATTTTAGTGATGAGAAAATACTTTGCTGTGCACCTAGTAATTGACAGAAGTGGGGCCCAGTGCCCAGGTCCTTTGATTTCAGGCCAAGGATACTTGGCTAAAAAAAAAGCAGTTTTCTACAAGAAAATGCAACACTGGGACTGGATGCAGAGAAGATGTTCATCCTGAGTTGCTTCTCCAACAATGGAAATAATTACGTTTTTCATATACAAACACTTTTCTGCCTGCAAACCTCTTTCCAATTACTCTCCCCATCTCTCTGACCATCAGAGACTGCCTTTAAGAGTTCTAGCCAATGAAGGGAGCCTTCTGTCTTCTCTGGATTCTTTATTTTTGTTAGAGTTGTAGGGTGCATGTGAGGATTTGCTATGTAGGTAAATTGCATGAAAGTGAGGTTTGGGCTTCTAGCAAGCCCTCTCCCCAGTAATGAACATGTACCCAGTGGGTGGTTGTGTGCCTCTTGTCCCCGCTCCCTCCTTCCCTTAGCAGTGCCAGCATTTGTTGTTCCTATCTTTGTGCCCACATGCCTATGTTTAGTGCCCATTTATGCGTGAGAACATGCGAGATTCTAATTAACCACTGTAGAATCTGTCACCAACAAATTGAATGAATGTCATGGGTGTTCCTGACCCCTATCCTGCTTAGGGGAGCCTGTTCTTTGCTTTCATGGAATTGCCATCTTGGTATCATTTCATTCATTTGAACAAAAAAGATGGGTTTAAGAATTACCTTTGAGGGCAACCTCTTTCAGGTCCTCTCCGGCTGTGGGAGCTTTTCTGTCTTCTTAATAAATCTTACTTTCAAAAAAAAAAAGAATCACCTTGAGTCATATTTCCTGGGCTCTCAAACTTGGAGGAAATTTGGTTTCCTGATGTGAACATTGTTAAGAGAAGATGAATTTGCACGGAACCCTAATAATTATGCAATGGGCATAATATACCTTTTGTTCCCATCATAATCTCTGGGCCATAAAAGGAAACAAAACATCTTCCTGTGTTCTTTTGGATAAAGAAGATTAAGCTAAAGGAAATCAAATTCAGAATTTTCATGAAAAGGAAATGGAAGAAAGAAGAAAAGGAGAAAGAAAAATGCACTATTCAAAGTCAAGGTGGGCATTAGGTTGGATCCCTAATAGGAGAACCAGGATCTTCTGATAAGAAGCTGAGTAAGATTAGCCAAGGCACTCGGCAGTCTAAGGGCTAACACAGTCCTGGGAGGAGATGAAAGGTTTTGACTGTGGCCACCTTCTTAAGAGATGCAAAGGAATCTTGTGTGAGTTAACCACTAGATGTGACAGAGATATGTGATCTTCCTAGAAGGTGTATCTGGAACTCTCTTCCAGGTTACTGAACTTTCCAGGAATGGATGGGTGAATTGCTGACATCTGCTGAGAGCCTGTTGTGTACTGGGTATTGAGCTAGTTGCTTCACCTACATTCTCTCTCATTCTCATAGGATCCAGAAAGGGGGGTATCAGTGCCCCCACATGAGAGCTGAGGAAATAATTGTCAAGGGAGGCAAAGTAACCTGCATGAAGTTGAATACTACCACATTTTTTTCTGGCTTCAAAATCAAAGCTGTTTGGGGGAGCACTGGGAAAGTGGTAAAGATATAGATCAATGAAACAAAAATGTGAGTCCAGAGTGATTTACACATATAGTAGTCATGGATTTTTTGGGGGGGTGCCAAACTAATATACAGAGAAAGTGTGGTCTTTTGAACAAATGATGCCGAAGCAATTAAAGATCCACGAACAAAAAAGAAAAGAAAAGAAAAAAGGACTTTTACTCATGCTTTCCATTATATACAAAATACAACTCAAAATGGATCTTAGACCTTAGTGTAAAACCTAAAACTACAAAGCTTCTAGAAGCAAGCATAAGAAAAATTTCTTTCAACTTTAGATTAGGCAAAGATTTCTTAGATGGATACAAAAGCCATGAATAACACAATGAAAAAAATGATAAAGTAGTGGGCTTCATCAAAATGTAAACGTTTTTGTTTTTGAAAGACAGAAACATATAAAAATGCAAAGAAAAGGCCCAGATGTGGAGGAAAATATTAGTAAATCACATATCTGATAAAGATACTTTACATAGAATATATTTAAAAACTCTTACAGCTCAATACTAGAAAGACAACTTAATTTTTAAAACGGTACTCGTACAAAATAATAACAAAGACTTTATCAAAGAAATTCTATTAAAGGCAAATAGCATACAGACCATGCGAGTTCTTAAGCTGCTGTGTCTCAGGTCCAAACCCATTGTCTGTTCTCTGCTCTGTGGTACCGAGAATGGGACTCAGCAAACCACATCTCTCCTCAGTCAACAACTCACTGTTGGACTCTGTCATGGGTGGGGATGGGAGCGTCTTGTTTGCACTACTTTTTCCCTGCAATAGTTCTTCAGGGACTGGACCCAGTGACTGCTGGTTCCAGTTAGCAGAAATGAATCCAGATTGGCAGCTGTTTCCCACACTTGAAGAATTGATTTTGCTCATGCTTCAGAGATGCTAGCACCAGACAGGCATAGCCTCCTCTTCCGAGGTCTGAATCTCAGCTGTACGGCCGCTCCTCAGATCTCCTGGGGCACCACTTCCAGTCAGGCAATGCTCCTCAGGGTTCTTTGAGCTTAGCTCTGCAGGTCCCACATTTAAGCTTCTATATTTTAACAAATCCTACCTCTTCCCTTCATTCTGCTACCCCTAGGGTGATAGTGGCTTCCCGTAGTAACCACCTCTGTAACATCTTAGTGTTTCCTTTTTACTCCAATACCTAATTGATACTTCTTTATATTAAATTCTGTTACAATAACTGGTGAGGTTTTTGTTTCCTGACTGGGTGTTGTCTGATGTAGAAACCTTCAATAGGTAAAATTATTTCCCCAGGTTCAAAGCAGAGTGACAGGATGGGGATAGGAATATTTGTTATATGTGATCACACTCCCCACATTTATACTCCTGTGTCTTCTTTTTTCCTACTTATTTTTTATTAATTTTTTAAAATTTTAGAGTTGTGGGGTACATGTGAAGATTTACCACATAAGTACCTTGCATGCAGGTGAGGTTTGGGCTTCTAGCGAGCCCTCTCTCTCCCTGGAGTGGACATGGCACTCATTGGGTGGCTGTGTGTCCCTGTCCCCTCTCTCTTCCTCTCCCCGTTAGCAATGCCCAGTGGCCATTGTTCCCACGTTTGTGCTTGCATGTCTAATGCTTAGGGCCTGTGTATAAGTGAGAAGGTATGGTATTGTTTTTTGTTTCTGTGATAGTTCATGTAGAATAATGGTCTCTAATTGCAAAGGACATGATTTTGTTCTTTGTTATGGCTGTAAAGTATTCCATCCTATACATGTGCTACATTTTCTTTATCCAGTCACTGTTGTGAATAGTGCAGTAATGAGCATACATGCACAGGTGTCTTGTTTGTAGAGCAATGTATGTTCCTCTAGATATATTTCCAGAAGTGGGATTGTGGATTGTATGGTAGTTCAGTTCTTAGTTCTTTGGGAAAATGCCACACTGCTTTTCTACAAAGGCTGGACTAGCTTACATTCCCACCCACAGTGTATAAGCATTCCCTTTTCTCCACAGCGTTGCCAATACCTGCCGTTTTCTTTGTTCAGTATCTTTTTAACAATGGAGAAACAGATGGATGAAGATAAAAGAGAGGTGACTAGATAGGAAGCTTACTCCAGATGAAATAGTCAGGTACAGAAAACATACAATGTAGCCTTGATGAACCTCACAGAGCAGACTCAGATACAAGAGGAGATACGAATGAATGGAGAGAGAATCAGCAACCCTGTAACTTCATGGGGATCCTCATTCCACCAAAATAGAATGTGGTAAAATTGTGACTCTCCGGTGAGAATGCTCTGAACTCGGTTCTAACAAAGCAGAGGACGTGATTGGTAAAGTCAGTGATGAGGGTTTTGGGAACCAGTGGCCATCTCAATGTCCACAATGGCTAGGGAGGATAAAGTGTCACTTGTTCAGTGGGAAGGCAGATATCAGGGATCAGAAGATATTTAATACAATTTTATGGAAAGAAGCATTGGGAAAAAAAGGATGGCTAATAAGGGCAGGAGCCTCACAGGCATTTCATCCAGACTATATAATAACAAATGACCCAATGAGGAAAAAAATGCAGGAGGCCCAGGGGTGGAAGGAACTCAATATAAAAATTATTCTGGCTGGGCACTGTGGCTCATGCCTGTAATCCCAGAACTTTAGGAGGCGGAGGCAGGAGAATCACTTGAGACCAGGAGTTTGAGACCAGCCTGGGGAGCATAGTGATACCTCATCTCTCTCTCCCTCTATATATACATAATTATTCTGACAACATGAATTCTGAATACAACAGGAATTCAAGCACTGGACAGACAATTGTTTGACAAGATATTGTACCAAGGATTTGCAACTTCTGATCATTGATTAACATTTTTTGACTTTGGGGATCACTTCAGTTCTTGAGATCCTTTAAAGTTCCTAAATGCTCTTTTATTCAAAACTGACTGAACACCGAAAAGCTATTGTTTTTTTGAAGTCCATAAGCAACCAAATACGTAAACTTTTAAAGAAACACGGAGTGCTATACATAGCTAAGAGGCATTTCCTTGGAGGGAACAGGAAGACTGTCTTCTTAAAGTTTCCAGGATAGTATTCACTAGCTTGAAAAATATACCAGAAATAAAACTCCGTCGCCTAGGCAGAAGTGCTGTGGCACACTCATCAATCACTTAAAAGCATATGTGGAAATAATACAAGAAAGTAAAATTTATCTGTACTGTTCTATAATAATTAAGGTTAAAATGTTTAGTTTTAAGAAATTTTGTAGTACACTTATTGAATCACATTTATGCTGTATAATATTGAACAATCCCTTTAAGAATGTATCAGAAAGCTATGCTGAGTTTATTTACATCATTCAAAAATCCTAATACTGCGTTTCAGTACCTAGGTACTTATATTTTACTAGCTATGGCTTTCTAATATATGAAATCTTGATATAAACACTTAATGTTTTGTTAGCTGTGGCTTTATATTTCTGAATATTAAAACCTTTAATATTGATCACTATTGTATATATTTTTAATAAAACATGCAGTATATTTTATTATGAAAGGAAAAGTACCAAATAATTCATTGTTTATATCTAGAGAGCTTACAGCCTGAGTTAAGTAAGTTATTAAACAGTAACTTCAGAAGATGCTCAGACTGGTTTACCACTGAAAGAGAAGACCCATGAAAATGTGTTTTGGTCAAACTTACTATTAGTAAGGTATACAGATAAGTTATTTTCATTTTAACCATCCTCACTCTGATGCACTATATTTGAAGCACCTGTATGTGCTAGCAAATGAGAAATTTAGCATTATATATTGGAAGCATTAAGAAACATTAGTCTTTCATTTCCATTTCCCCCCTCCATCCCTCCCTTTGCCCAGTAATATGTTATTCATCTGGTTTTAATGCTACATAAATATGTATTGTCTCATGCCTGTTTGTGTTGGGTGATATGTGCTGAGCTGTAACAAAATGTTGCTTCTTTTGCTATCTGTATACAGCTGCTTGCTTTAAATTAGTAGATTCTGAAATAACTTCCCTTGCATGTCTAAAACAAAAATATTGCATGCAAAAAGAAAAAGAAATATACCAGGATCTTGCTTTCAGCCTCACAGACTCCAAAAATGGTTGTTATTTACATTCCAAGGGTGAAACCACCTCTTGAAGCAGACTTACTTCCACCAAACCCATTAAGTCAGGATTCCAATTTATGAATCTATGTGAGAAGTCACTTAAAGTGAAGGTGGCACCTTCATAAGTTTTTTTTTACTAGTATGCTTTCTTCCTATCGACATACCTGTATGAAGAATTAAAATATCATGGAAAGGTTATCTTTTTAAGATTGAAAATTTTATTTTGAAATAATTGGGAATTCATATGCAGTGGTAAGAAATAGTACAAAGACATTTCTGTACCCTTTACCAAGTTTCCCCCGGTGGTAACATCTTGTGAAACTATAGCACAATATCACGACTCCCTCAGAGATACTGATACAGTCAAGATATAGAACATTTCCACCACAACAAGGATCTCACATGTTGTTCCAAAAGGTTATTTTCTGAACAAAGATTGGAACGTTCTAATCTTCTAGAAGTTCTAAGAATACTGAATGGCATCTAACGTATTAGTTCAGATTTTGCTAGTGATTCTGGAAGACTTGAGAACCTTGTGTGGCTCCCCTCTATGCACTGCGTGACCAGCTCAGATGACTTTGCCTCACTACCTTTGTATTTGCAAAGCTGCCATGGCTCACCACACCACCATGCCCATTCAAGTGTCCCATGTTCTTTTTAAAAACATCGTCAATCAACTTAGAGAAAATTCTGCAGGCCTTGAGGAAGCACACCCAGTGTTCCCCAAGTTCTGATAAACAACCTCATTTATGCCTTTGCTCCATGAGGATTTACAATAAAATTTTAATTTTATTAATTTTTTTGCTATGCTATGTTTGGTCATTTCTGAAGTTTCAGGCTATAGCATTCTAACTATATTCTAGGGGACACAAGGTTTTGTCCACTTTCTCTTTCTTCCAAATAAAAATATAAGATGACACTTTGCAAGTCTGTCTTCAGAAACTGGCATTGGCTCTTTGTTTTCATTAGGTAATAATAGGACATCATCGATGTGCGGTGTGTGACCCACCCATCATGTGCCTTCCCCTGGGATTCCCTCAAAGAGTTGTGATGGTTCAGCGTGTCCTACCATAATTTTCTCTTTCTGTGACTCAAATCAAACATAAAAGACAGTTCCACACCTCAATCTTCTATTAAAATATATTACTATGGATGAGACCGAATAATACTCTCAAGAAACTGCTCATTTTCTTTGCCTCTGTCCAAAGTATGTATCAAAGCAAACCTGTTTTTCCACTGGAGAACCTCTACTCAGAATACCCCCTGGACGGCATGTGCGGGAATGATTTTACTCAAGTACAAGTACATTTCTCTACCATGTGAATGTACTCTGCCTTTGTAGCTGTGGGGATAGGGTTTTCTTAATGTTCATAAATCTACAGAGAAACATTTCTTCATATGATCAAAAACTTTTAGTTTCTTTTTTTCCTCACATTTCATATACAGTAAATCAAGTGAACATCTCCATCAGGACACCATGTAGCCTCACAATATAATTATATAAATCTTTCGTGTCCCAACTTTGCAAACACAAGCCTATAAACTAAAAGGTATAAATCAAGTCTTTGCTAAACAAACTGATGTGATAAAAATATTGCAAGCGGCTTGTTCTTGAATGGTCTTACTTAAGATATTTAAGGATGTCGTCATAGCAAAGTCAATTCCTTTGTATTTTCCTGGGACTTCCCAGGTGTTAGTAATGAAAGTACTGAGTTCTGGAAACTTCCTCATTCCTGGTAACTGGGACATTTTGTCACCCTACCATGACATTGGCTGGTAATAGTTCAAATGAAACCTTGGCATTCATTCATTACTAAAGTGAACTAATGATACACTTGTGGGCATCAGTGACTCTCAGTGACATATACTACGCCAAAGATGCCAGACATTTAAAAAAATTATACCCTTAATCCCACCTCCCTTCCCCTCCCTACCTCCCCCCCCATAGATTTCCACCACTGTCAATCCTTTTCTTATAGTGTTAATATCTGTCTGGGGATGGGGAGACACCCCTTATCAACAAGGGTGCCTGAACGATGCATATTTGTATACCTAACCCTTAACTGTACCCCACAATTTTAAAATAAAAAATATGTTTAAAAAAATAAATAAATAAAAATAAAGCCAAAAAATTATACAATGTCTCATTTGTTTAAATTTTCAGATCAAAACTAATCTATGGTGAAAAATTTTTGAAATTCTGGCTACTTTAGGAGGGTGGTAAGTTTACTGAAGTTACATCTAGGAACTTTCTGATATCATGAATATATTCTCCATCTTACTAGTTGTGAAGGTACATAGATATATCCATTTATCAAACCTTATCAAATAGTACTCAGGATTTGTGCATTTCAGTGTATGCAAATTTTACTGTATCTTAAAAAGTAAACAAACTGACCAGAAATGTTTGTGTATGAGTACATCCACCAAATTGTCACATTATCTAATTTATTTCAAGCAAAATTTTTAAAAATTTTATTTTATTTACTTTTAGGGTCAGGGTTTCACTATGTTGTCCATCTAGTTGTAATTATGTATCAGTTGACCAATTTCCTCAAACCCTCTCCTGCTCCAAAACAACCCCAGCCCCTGACAACCATCATTCTCCTTTCAGCCTCTATGAGATCAACTCCTGTAGATTCCACAAATGAGCGATACCATGCAGAACTTGCCTATCTGCGCTTATCTTGACTTAACGTGACGTCCATGTTGTTGTAAATGAAAAAAAAATTTAACTGAGAATGAGATAGGAATTAAAATGAAGCTACACCTTTCAGAATCTAAGAGACCAGCTAGAAAGACATGAAACAAACATATTAGACAATGAAGTAGCAATCAAGGAACCTGTGACCTATTAGTGACACCATGCACACAGGACAGTTGCCTGCCAGGGTTTAGGGATGTAGAGCATGACCCAAAGCTTGAAACAAGCAGGGAAATCCACTGAGTGGTGGAGAGGTCACCAATGTCACACTCTCAGGGATGTCTTCTTATTCATTGCTCAAAAATGACCTCAAATACAGGACTTTTTCCTTTTATTTCATGCCAGATGCCACTCTGAGCAGGTGAGCCTTCTTCCCCATTGATTGGAAGAAATGCATAACCAGAAGCATGACTGACCACATCCTATCCTGGGAGGGCTACAGAAGGGGAGAGAGAGAAATGTAACTCCATATTAAGAGCATCACATGACAGCCCCCAGGTAAGAAGATGAAGTGAATGTGGTCTCCAAGTAGTTGTTAAGTTCTGAAAGGCAGATGGCATAGATCTTATGACACCTGGACAGGAAGATGTTGTTTTCCAACAAGTTTACACCATTAAGTGAACAAACACTATGTATAATCTGATAATTACTTAGTTATTAGGTAAACAAAAACAAGGAAAGTGAGTTGACCACAGAAAATGGAGGAGTATATAAGAAACTGCAGCCCAAGGAGATGTTACTCCAGAACCCCATTCTCTTGCATGCCTAGCAAGAACTCCACCCTCTGACATCATGTGCAACTCCTCTTGTGGCTCCATTTGCTCTGACCAGGGCTGTGGCCAGGAGACCTGCTGTCGCCCCATCTGCTGCCAGACAACTTGCTGCAGGACCACCTGCTGCCGCCCCACCTGCTGCATCTCCAGCTGCTGCAGGCCCCAGTGCTGCCAGCACACCTGCTGCCGCCCTTCCTGCTGCATCTCTAGCTGCTGCCGCCCCAGCTGCTGTGTGTCCAGCTGCTGCAGGCCCCAGTGCTGCCAGTCCACCTGCTGCCGCCCTTCCTGCTGCATTTCCAGCTGCTGCCGGCCCAGCTGCTGTGTGTCCAGCTGCTGCAGGCCCCAGTGCTGCCAGCCCACCTGCTGCCGCCCTTCCTGCTGCATTTCCAGCTGCTGCCGGCCCAGCTGCTGTGTGTCCAGCTGCTGCAGGCCCCAGTGCTGCCAGTCCACCTGCTGCCAGCCCACCTGCTGCCGTCCCAGCTGCTGCCTCCCCAACTGCTGCCAGACTACCTGCTGCAGAACAACCTGCTTCCGCCCCAGCTGCTGTGGCAGTTCTTGCTGCTGAGTGTCCTGCCCTGGACCCATGAACCTTCTTGTCCTCATCCTCTTGTCTAGGCAAAGGACATCTATTCAAAGAGCATGTGAGCTTCCCAATGTGATGAACTTACAAACAGACCCACAGATTGATTTATGATACCCCAGTCTCTACGTTATTTTTACCTTGTTATAGAAACTATTTATTACTAGGGAATCAGAGTTTATAGTCTGATACTTTTTCAGAATTTCTAATTCGGGTTCAAAATACATAAATCCTTAAATGTTTCTCTTCTAGATTTCTTCTTCCCATTGCTTTTCTGTGGAATCCATTTTAATGTGGGATTACTTGATGTTCCTCAATAAAACTTCTTAGCATTCAAACCACACTGAAGTTGCTGCTGTCTCATTATTACTTATTAGTGAAATGGTCTATGCATATTTGTGTGTTTCTTCTGCACCACTGGAGGTCATGTTCTCAGAGTCCCTACAATTAAAACACTAAGTTGACATCCATCAATGAGGTCTTTTGTTTTGTTTTGTTTTGTTTGAGTTGGAGTCCTCACCTTGTTGTCTAGGCCATAGTGCAGAGGCACACTCATGGCTACTACAGCCTTGACCTGCTTGGGCTCAGGGATCCTTCGGTCTCAACCTTTCAAGTAGCTGGAACTACAGGCATGCACCACCATGCCCGGCTAATTTTTTGATTTATTGTGGAGATGAGGTCTCACCAACTTTCCCAGGTTGCTCTTAAAACCCTGGGCTTAGGCAATCCTCTCACCTCAGCCTCCCAAGGTGCTGGTATTAAGCTTGAGCCACTGCGTCCTGCCATCAATGAGATTTTTATCTCAGCCAGACTTCAATCTTGTAGTAGAAATAGAAGAATTTTAAGAGGAGACATCTTGAAACCTAACACGTGTAACATACAACTATGGATTGCACCTGCTACCAACAAAAAGTACTCTAAATAGTATTAATTATTTAACTTAAACCAACTTAGTGAGAGGAAACTCTGTGTAGAGGATATTCTGTGGCCTTTTGAATTATACAGAGTTGAGGCTGGATTCTGTCTGTATCGGATACAGACTATGATCTCAGACATGTCACTTTAACTCGTGCAGCCTAGGATTGGTTTCTGTAAAGAAAGGATCACAATACCCACCTATGAAGGTTGCCTAAAAATTCAGTGAAAGATGCCAAGGAGACAAATAAAAGCATGACTTATTTGACCTCCAATGAAATGAAATTGTATTTTTTTAATTTTGAAATAACTATAGATGGACAAGAAGTTGAACAAAAGAAAGTACAACAAAGTATCGTGTACCCTTCATACAGTCTCCCGAATGGTTACTTCCTCCATGACTATAGTACATGTCAAATGTTCCTCAATAAAACTTAGCATTCAAACCACACCGAAGTTGCTGCTCTCTCAATATTACTTATTAGCAAAATGGTCTATGCATATTTATGTGTTTTTTTCTGCGTCATTGGAGGTCATGTTCTCAGAGTCCCTTACAATAAAACTCTAAATTGGCATCCATCAGTGAGCTTTGCTGTTGGGTTTTTTTTTGAGTTGGAGTTATCACCTTGTTGCCCAGGCCGAAGTGCAGCGGCACACTCACGGCCACCACAGCCTTCACCTGCTGGGATGAGAAAAGGATGATACACTTGAACACAAAGAATAAGATATGAATCTCTTTCGTCCAAGAAGGAAATATTAAGGTTTACTGTGAAAGTTTTAAAAACATTAAAACCAGAGATGAAGAAAATAAAGAAAAATTTACTAAATCGTAGAATACTACGATCCACGTCATGCCTCAGTCGCTCAAGTAGCTGGAACTAGGGGCATGCACCACCATGCCCGGCTAATTTTGAAATTGACGATGAATAATCCACGTGACTTTTTCTGATTTTACCAGTATTCCATGCTCTCGTGTATGTCCCCACTCACATGTGGGTGTGTGTATGTGTAGTTCTGTGCACTTTTATCATGTGTATAGATTTCATCATTACACTCAAGATACAGGACAGTTCTGTCTCCATGAGGCCTCATCTGCTTCCTCCACTCCTCATCGCCGGTGTCAACCACCATTCTGTTCTCTAGCTCTATAACTGTATCTCACAAATGTTCTGTATGGAATCTTGCATTATGTAATCTTTGGTTATTGACTCTTTTCCTCTAAGCATAATTCCCTTGATGCTATCCAAGTTATTAAGTGTATCATGAGTGTGTTTTTTATGTCAGTATTATTGCATGACATGGATGCAGCACCGTTTGGTTTATTCAACTGTTTTCCAGTTGTAGGGCATTTGGTTGTTTCAGGGTTAGATTTGTATATCTATTTAGAAAAATGTGTCAAGGATTCCTACCAGTGGGTGCAATTTGCCACTTTTCAGTTGAGAGACACGATATGGATCGTATAGTCTAAGATTTAGTAAATTTTTCTTAATTTTCTTCATCTCTGGCATTAATGTTTTCAAGTTTCACAATAAACCTTAGTATTTCCTTCCTGGACGAAAGAGATCCGTATTTTATTCTTTTTTTTCAAGTGTATCATTCTTTTCTTCTGGAAATCTAAATATACTTTTGGGACTAAACATCTGCTTATGTCTCAGTTAAATTTTGAAAAACAGAAAGGCACAAAAAGGTACATATGTCATTAGAAGTACAGAAATGCTCCCACCGCCTCCACTGCCTGCAGGATGGCCTTGGCAGCCGCCTCTTGGGGCCCGACTCGCTTTCTGCAGCCCTTGCACAACCCAGGCCCTCTGTCCTTGAAAGGCAACTGTATTCCGTCTCCCTTGTGGGCCTGGGCGCAGCCCTGGGGACGGTGGTGGCACACGGCGGCAGGGTGGCCCTGGGCGCGGTGGGGGTCGGCGGGAGCAGCAGCCCCATTAATCCAGCCTCGGCTGCCTCCCGGCCACCCGCAGCTCATCGCTCTCAGCTTCCGCCGGGACTGCCAGGCCAACGTGGACATCAAGCCAGCTTACCAAAATCTGAGGCAGAAAGTGGATAATTTTGTGTCAACACGTCTGGACAAGGAGGAATGGAATCCTACGATGAACAAAATCCAGTTGCGAAATGGTCTGAGGCAAAGTGTGGCTCAGTCAGGGATGTCGGAGGCGGGAGTTGACAGGATCCTTTCTCAGGTGATAGATCCAAAACTCAACCACAACTTCAGGCCACAGATAGAACGAGCAATGCATGAGTTCCCGGCGGCCCAGAAGAAAGCAGCTGTGCCAGCACTGCCTCCAGAGCCCAAAGGCCATGACCTTCCAGCTTCATCCCAGGACGCTTCCTACGAATATGCCTGGCACCTTTTGAGAGCTCCATTTAATTAATGGTGAAGAAGAGGTTCGGTTACATAAGAGAACAGCTTCGGAATGAAGATAGGCCAAGGTCATCGCTGATTTCAGCATTTTAGCCTGACTATGCGCAGTGTCAGGATTGAACAGAAACAAGTCGGGAGGGGGGGAAGTTGACTGTGGTACCCCCAGTATAGTGCTGCTATTTGACCAGCCTATCCAAGGGTATGATACCCATAAGTACTACTGAGAGATAAAGAAACACAACAGCAACCTGGGCTTGTCCTGAAACAGACTCTTATACTTGAGTATGAAGACTGCGCATGGACTTCAGGATCTGTGCTATGGGACAAGCAACAGCTCTAGTGAAAGAACGTGACCTGTCCCAAAGATTATTTCAAAGAAGAGTGGCAGCAAAGTTTAGCCGGGAAGTAGGTATTTGGCAGTGCTTATTTGATGCTGTTTCTCAGAGATCCTACAATGTACAAGTCATCAGGATCAGCTGGTTTTAGGTGGTTGTGATCTTGGACATGCATCTTCTAGCCAGTTTCCTCTCCCCTGAAAGAGAAACAAAACACAGAATCATAACTTGAGGAAGCCAGACACTGGGAACGAGGAAGGACACTCGCAGTTTCCCTGTCCAGATTCTTCTTGTCCTGCAGGGCTAGCGAGTCTCTGTGTGTTTATTTTATTCCCATGTTGGTGTTTTTTAGAAAAGTGAACGGTCAACAGATGGCTGACGTTTTATAATAAAATCCTTTAATATTCTTACTCTGTGTGGCCCTAGGTCTGTAGCGGATCCAATTCACAATCACATGTTGAATTTAGCTGTCTCGTGTCTTTGGTCTCCTTCAATCTGGAATCTCTTCTGGGGAATTTTTAAGACTAAAGGCAAATCTTTTTTTGGTTATACCTCAGAAGTGGGCTTGTCACTGGGCTCGGTGGCTCAGCCTGTAATCCCTTGCTTGGGGAGGCTGAGGTGAGTGGATTGCCTGAGCCTGCGGGTTCAAGACCCGCCTGGGCAACTTGACAAGACCTCATCTCTACAATAAATCAAAAATTAGCTGGGCGTGGTAGCGTGCGCCTGTAGTTCCACCTGCTTGGAAGGCTGAGGCGGAAGGATCACCTGAGCTCAGCAGGTCAAGGCTGCGGTGACCGGATATAGCCTCTGCACTCCAGTCTGGGTGAGAGTGAGACTCCAATTCAAAAAAAAAGAGGTGGGCTTGTCTGGCAATACCTCCCAATTGGATGGAGATTCTGCACCTTTGGCTGGAATGTCACAGAAGGGACACCGCACTCTTTACATTGCATCCTAGAAGGCACGTGAGTTCACTTTGTCCATTACCTGGTGAAGTGAACTTTGATCACTTGACTCAGGAGTGTCTGCCCCACAATGCTCTTGTCTTTTTGTAATTAGTGTTGGGTGAGGAGGTACTTTAAGACTTTGCAGATTTCTGGTTCCCCATCAGAGGTTCATAGCCATAAGTGTTTCCTGGTTGGATAAAGTAGCACCATGACAGTGGCCAAATGGTGATTTTCAAGCTCCATCAAAATCCACCCCTGCCTGTCTCTCTGCCTGCCGAAGGCTTGTTCCTCATATGCCAGCTTAGACCATCTTGAGCATGACCACCAAATGTGCTGGAAGTCCAGCCAGCCGTTTTCATGAGCTATGGAAACTGACAAACTTAAGTGTATTCCATAATGGCAATTTTCATATATCGTTGTTCTGTCTACATTTATTAGTTGTCATCCTACTGTGTAAAAAAAAAAAAGAGTATAGAAATGCATGTTGCATTCATTTTCTGGCTTACCTAATTATGGCCTACATTTACAGGATATTGGTAGAGTTAGCACTAACCTGGTAATATAGCTGTGGGGAAGAATATTCTTCCAAGGGTTCATCTCACTCTTTTAAGCCACAATTCGTTTTTCATGGAAAGCAAGATTATCTTTTATGCATTCGTGGCTATTTTATTTTGAGTTGTATCCTTCTTGGGGGAAGTGCAGAGAAACAACTATTATATCTTATAAGAGGGAATACGCTTAAAAATGTGATTTTACGACTCCTGCAATGCAGGCGTTTGGGAACCCGGGTACTGTTGCGGAGCTGTGGTTTCTGGCAGTCGCCGATGTGTGATTGCACTTGGGAAACAGAATATTTTGTGTAAAGAGACAAGGGATGGGCTGGTGAAAAGAAGCCGTCGGGTTTGCAAAGGTCATTGTCAAAAGAGAATGAAAGCTTCCAGCAGCAGAGAGAAACTGTCGCGAGGCCGTCGGACGCCCGGCCTTCCTCAGCGCGCGGTGACTGTCCATCCGGGCCAAGTTGAACCTCCTGAGCCCCTGTAGGCAGCGGGTCCAAAGTGCCGGCCAAAATGGAGGTGAATCCCCCCAAACAGGAGCACCTGCTGACGCTGAACGTGACGAGGCTGACTAAGCCTACTTTATTCGCCAATATTCCAGGAACCTGTGAAGAGAAAGACTTACCTGGAGATCTCTTGAACCAACTGATGAGAGATGACCCTTCAACTGTACACGGAGCCGAAATCTTCACGTTGGGAGAAATGTTGGCACTACCACCAAATTTCGGGAATGTACTTTTGGGAGAGACATTTTCCAGTTATGTCGGTGCTCACAATGACAGCGATCAAGTTGTAAAAGATATATTGGTCAAAGCTGATCTTCAGACAAGTTCTCAGCGTTTAAGTCTTTGGGCCTCCAGCGCTGCAGTGGCTGAACTGAAACCCGATTGTTGTGTTGATGCTGTCATACACCATGAAGTGAAGGAAGTTGGAGCACACAACTTGGTATGTGCTGTCAGTTATACAACACAAGGTGGAGAAAACAGGTCTTTTAGAAAACTCTTCAAATTTCAGGCTCTCACACCATTGGACGTGAAAACTAAATTGTACAATGCAGAGACTGATGAAGTATTTCTCGAAGCCCAGATTCAGAATATTACAACCTCCCCCATGTTTATGGAGAAAGTTTCATTGGAGCCATCTGTCATGTATAATGTAACAGAATTAAATTCAGTCAACAAAGCTGGAGAATGTGTATCGACGTTCGGGTCAAGAGCCTATTTGCAGCCAATGGATACACGCCAGTATTTATATTGTCTAAAGCCCAAGAAGGAGTTTGCAGAAAAAGCTGGCATTATCAAGGGTGTTACAGTAATTGGAAAATTGGATATAGTATGGAAAACAAATCTGGGAGAAAGAGGAAGGTTACAGACCAGCCAGCTTCCAAGAATGGCTCCAGGTTACGGAGACGTTAGGTTGTCTTTGGAGGCGATCCCAGATACTGTAAACCTAGAAGAGCCTTTTCATGTCACCTGTAAAATTACAAACTGCAGTGAAAGGACTATGGATCTGGTTCTGGAGATGTGCAATACCAATTCGATCCACTGGTGCGGTGTTTCCGGAAGACAGCTTGGAAAGCTGCGTCCGAGTTCCTCTCTCTGCCTTGCTCTTCCTCTGCTGTCTTCAGTCCAGGGACTGCAAAGTGTCTCCGGCTTACGACTAACGGACACATTCTTAGAGAGAACATATGAATATGACGACATTGCACAAGTCTGCGTGGTATCTTCGACTGTTAATGTGGAAACCTGAAGGAAATTTCCAGTGTTATGCTTTTCGTTTAGTTGCACATAACTGCTTTCTGTATTTTTGTCATCTTTGTAAAATAAGTCAACAGCGAAAAGAAATATATATTCTTCAAATTTTTTCCTGGAAAACAGTTAAAATATTAAATGTTTGTTTTGAAAAGAAGTATATTTTGATTTTGTCTTTGTATATTTTCTACACATATTGTTTCATTTTAAATGACCATTGGATGTAGTTCTCTAAAAGCTGTGTTTGAGACCATTTGTTCTTAGCAAGCATTTAGAACAGAGATCAGCAAACTTTTTATAGAAAGGGTAAGATACTAAGTATTTTAGGCTTTGCAGACCATATGGTTCCTATCACAAATAATGAGTTCTGTCTGCCATTCTAAGTGCAAGAGCAGCCAGTAGGCAAAAACCTCCAGCAGTATTTACAAAAATGGGCAGCTGGCCAGATTGGGCCTGCAAGCCATAGTTTGCTGACGTCGATCTAGAAGATTCAGTTGTTTCTTAGAACTTCTGTCAGAATATTTTGTTTAGAAATAGTTAATTCTGGTTTTCGTCCTAGCTCCTCAGTCAGTAGAAAAAATTTGTTTAAAACAACTGGGGTAGTCCTTCTATAACCGGATACTTGGAAACACAACATAAGCTTCTCTAGGTGCTTTTAAAATTACTGTATTGGTAGGTGTCTGGTGTTTGTGTATACATGCAGATGCACACGTCTGACTTTCAGGTACTGAACAGCAAATCAGAATTGGCTTTATTTCCTAGGTTGTTGATTACTCCATTAGCTTTTAACTAAGAAGCCTAATAATTTTCTAATTCTAAGACAAAAACTCCTAGGTTTTTTCTCATTGAAAGGTAATATTTTCATAAGGCATATTTAAAGAATTCCTAACTTCTGATATCTGACTTTAAACTCTAAATCATGTCTTAATATAATAAAGCTTTCGATCCATGTAATCACACTTATTCACTTATGAGCAAAACAGTAAGAAAATTAAGGTTGTAAACAACTTTGAAATGTGAATGTGACAAAATTTTTCAATATTTTGTCAGGAAAACAAAAACTTATGCTGTTAAATAAAAGCCATCCTATTTTGGTAAGCCGAAATTCAAGAATGTATATAGAATTTCTTGATTGTAAGAGTGTATTAAGTCAAATATAAAAATTAGTTTTCCTTAAAGTGCATCATTATTTATTGCCATTACATATTGGTCCAGAATGAAAGCTATATTCAGAAGGTCTGTACCTTAAAATGGAATAATAGTTAATGAAAAATCTGTACAAAATAAAGTGCAAGCAGCCTAAAAAAATGTGATTTTACATGAATAAAACTGAGGATAACTATAAGTTTTGTAAAAGGCGTCAACAGGAATAGGAGAAATAAAGAAGAATAATAAGCCATCAAATAAAAGGGAAATGAAGAAATAATTATGCATCCATGGATTCATAAACAGGAAGTCAGATTATAGATGTCTAACCCAGTGATTTTCAGACAGTATAGCTGACCACTGAGTCAAGTCCAGAAATACACATAAAGGACTAGATGATTTAATTAAATCATAAGGGTGGTTGTTGAAAAGCAGTAGGCAAGTAAAGTATTTTTCAGAATGAATAGCTAGCCAACTTCAGGAATAAACAAATAATAAGGAGAAGAGAAGGAAGGATAAATGGAAAAACAGAAGGGAGGAACAAAGAAAGGAAAGAAGCATTTATATTACACTAAGTGAAATAAGTCAGACGGAGAAAGACAAACACTAGATGGTCTCACTTATATGTGGAATCTGAAGAAGTTGAACTCTAGAAATGGAGGGTGGCATTGTGATTGGCAGAGGTCATTGGGGGAGAAACTGAGTGATGCTGGTCGAAGAGTCCGAACCCAGTCGTATGAGGAGTATGTTCCAGGATCTAATGTGCCGCATGTGACAATAGTTAATACCATGATATCATATACTTGAAACTAGCTGGAAGAGTAGCTCTTAGATGCTTTCACTACACACAAGAAGTAGTAACAGTGTGTGGTACTAACTTGATTATGATCATTATTTAATAATATATATAAATATATCAAAGCATCACCTTAAATACATGCAATTTTATTTCTCAGTTATATCTCTATAGATCAGAAATATTGAAATTTTTAAAGCACTAAAAGAAATCATAAGAGATTTCTAAATAATCTAAACTTCTATGGAGGAAATCTCACATCACAGAGAGGAAAAATGCCACGTAATATAAAGACATGTAATCTCTGCTAGTCTTTAGCCGGTACCAGTGTTAGGGCTCTTCGTGGACAGACACTATGCTCTTCCAGAAACAAGATCTTCCAGAATTCTGAGAGCTGTTCGCAACACCATGGTGAGACACAAGCATCCTGGCACCACAACATCTTGGAACCTTCTTTTGTTCCCTCATCTTCTCTGACATCTGAGGAATGACTCGAGACCTTAATAGAATGCTGTGTCTGGGCACAACAGAGCAAGGACACGATGTAGGCTCAGGACTCCGGCCTATGCTCCAAGCACGGCTTTAATTAGCTATCATCATCGTGGTTGCATTAACCTGGTAATCAGGGCCAGAACAGGAGTGGAAACTAGCTAGGAACAAAAGAGCATCCCAACACCATAATTCGATTAATTGGACTTACAGTGCTTGAGGGCAGAAAGGGAATCTCTGAGCCCTTTCATTCAGTCCCCTCTATCTAGTTCTTGAATCTCCCACAGCAACGCCAGCTCACACTGAGCCCTGCCCCCATATCACTGGAGATGGCTCATCCACAAAACATCCTCACCGTGCGGAGTCAGGCTTTGTTTTCCACCTCCTTCCTTGGATCTCTTGATTCCCAGTGGTGGGGGAATACACTCATACACAAAATGCACATGTGCATCCCCACTATTAAAAAATATAGGCCGGTGTCCTTTTATTTGGATATCTGTGATCTGTCATTCCCTTTATATTTATTTACTGGAAATAAAAACCATGAGAGTGAAATCAGATGAAACACTTGAATAATGAAACAGCAGAGTCCTAGGCATTTTCAAGGTCCAGCCACCTAACAGAGAAAACATGATGGTCAAATCACAGCAAGATAATGACACTGGGTCATCTAATGTGAGTCAGCAAGAAATGAGTCCATGTGACCTGTTAAATATGAAAAGACAGGAGGGTGAAGTCAGGAGCAAAATAAGCCCCATGCAAGAGAGAATACAAATTGAACATTTTAGTAGAGCTGAGCTCTACAGTCAATATCCCCCAAGAGATCCTATAAATAGTATTGATGGGTGGTTTTTCCAGAAGAAGCAGCATCAACATCCCACGATTTAGTGGTCCACCTTGGAACTTAATTGCCTACCTGTGTGTCTTATCAGAAGTCTAGAAAATGAGTCCTAATTCAAATTGGGGAAGGAATGTGTCCTTAGAGTCTTCCTGGTCTCATGCCAATAGTCATCTGTTTCACATTCAAAGCTTCACTGCTAGCTTTACCTGTAATGAACAGAACATCAGAATAAAATGCAGCTTTATCTTCCTGAGTCCCTAAACACAATCAGTAGCCAATAGGAACCATCACCCAGGAGCAGACACAGTGTGAGATGGGAAAGGAGACTGAAGCCAGTAGTGCCCAGAGGCAGAATGTCACGTGACAACCCTCCATGAGGAGGCTAAAGCAAGAAAGACACACACAGGTGACTTGGGGAAGAGATGACACCTGAATCCCAAGGCATCAGGGAAAGGAACAATCTTTTCCATCCATGTTGTCAAATTTAACAGGAAATTAAACTAGCCTAATTTGATAATTGCCTACTTACTAGGACAAACAATAACAAGGAAAGATTGCAGCATCTGATGGCAGCAGCCTCAGCGAAGTATAAAAGGGGACTAGGGCAAGTAGATTTCCACACCTTCCAAACCCACCTTCCCGGAAACCCACAAACCTCTACCCTCTGACACCATGTGCAACTCTTGTTGTGGGTCCGTCTGCTCTGACCAGGGCTGTGGCCAGGAGACCTGCTGCCGTCCCAGCTGCTGCCAGTCCACCTGCTGCAGGCCCACCTGCTGCCGCCCTAGCTGCTGTGTGTCCAGCTGCTGCAGGCCCCAGTGCTGCCAGTCCACCTGCTGCCAGCCCACCTGCTGCAGGACCACCTGCTGCCGCCCCAGCTGCTGCATCTCCAGCTGCTGTAGGTCCCAGTGCTGCCCATCTGTGTGCTGCCAGCCCACCTGCTGCCGCCCTTCCTGCTGCATCTCTAGCTGCTGCCGCCCCAGCTGCTGCCAGACCACCTGCTGCAGGACCCAGTGCTGTCGCCCGAGCTGCTGTGTGTCCAGCTGCTGCAGGCCCCAGTGCTGCCAGTCCGTGTGCTGCCAGCCCACATGCTGCCGCCCTTCCTGCTGCATCTCTAGCTGCTGCCGCCCCAGCTGCTGTGTGTCCAGCTGCTGCAGGCCCCAGTGCTGCCAGTTCAGCTGCTGCAGGACCCAGTATTTCCGCCCCAGCTGCTGTGTGTCCAGCTGCTGCCGCCCCAGCTGCTCTAGTGACTCTTGCTGCTGACGCTGTGACCTGCTGTCACCTGGTCCCCATAAGCCAACATTCTTAGAGTAACTCATCTCTGAACTGAATCACGCGAGCCCGATTGAAAAACCTGTTCCAGCCAATTCGTAGATTGAGTCTGGCCCCCAAATATACTGCACCGCCCCCTCCCTTGCCACCACTTGGCATACTCTCTCAGATGAACACATTTGAATTTTCTTTGAAATCTCAACTCCCATGTTACCCTATTGCAATATAAGCTTAGTAACATAATCTCCCGTATGGCAATATTCTTCCTTGTTAAATAAATCTTATTTTCCAGGCATACAAATACACATGCATCTAGTTTCGTTATTTTGCCTTCTAGAGTTTGGCCTCTACTTGTTCATTTTCCTGTTGTTGTTTCTGCGGAGGGAGAGGAGCAGAGCTGATGTTTTCAGAGGCTGCACCTCCATTCTCTCAGCACTCCTCATTCTCACAAAAAAAGACAGTCCCTTAGAGCAAGTGTCTGGACTCTCTGCCTGATGCCTTTCTCTGGGTAAGAGCAGACTCTGGCAAGGAGAGTTGAAGCCTCTGGGGACAGCTGAACAAGGATTGGGAGTTGGTGAATCCCTGCCCCAGCTTACTTACCCTCTAGTGGGTGCTTGTCACACTGTCTTCCAGGGGTCCTCCGTGGGGTTGAACCCAATGCCTGCAGGAGTATTCTGCTCACCAGCTCACCCCATGTGGCCTTCCTTCTTTCCCCTGCATCATTTCCCTGTGGTGCTTTTTGGGATCATCTCCCAAAAGCATCACTTGTCCTCAGACTCCTGTTTCTGGGTCTGCTTCAAGGGGACCCAATCTAAGACAACAGTGTTTGTCACTTCAGTGTCAGTGCCCTTTCAATTTTAAATTGATACATAATAGATGTACTCTTATGTATTGGGGTATGTAGACATCAGAGTAATCATATTATCCATCATCTCAAACATTTATCTTTCCTTCATGCTAAGAACATTTGAATTATTCCTCTAGCTATTTTCAAGTGGACAATAGACAATTGTTACTCTAGTCGCCCTAATGATGTATTGATCACTAAGCCTTAGTTCTTGCAACTTATTTTGTACCAGTAATTGTCCTCCCTTCATTCCCCTCCTCCTCCCTTCTCCGCCTCTGGTAGCCACTGATTTTCTCTCGATCTTCCTGAGTTCTACTTTGTTATCTTTCACATATGTGTTAGAACATGCGATATTTGTCTTCCTCTGCTTGGCTTATTTCACTGAACGTGTTAAGTCATTTATTTTTGTACCATATGAATGGATACCACAGTGTTCCAGTCAACTCTTGAGGATATTTTCTACTAAACAGACACAACATCTGAACATTTTACTCTTTCTTATTGCCCATGTTTATACATTTCTTTTAGACCAGTTGCTTTCATTTATATATATTTTTTTACATCAATTCATCTTAGGGATAGGACATAATTGGCATGTCAATAGCTCTCATCCTAAAGGAACCTGTGCTTAAGAGACATGCTAAGATGGATTCACTATAAGCACAACCTAAAACAGAGGTACCGGCATGAGTGATTTAGAAGGAATGCGCTCAGGAGAAAATAAACTAGGAGAAGCAGGATAGAGGAAAAGGTGAAGCTAAGCCAAAACGTCATTTCCATTGAATTGGAAGCCTTTCGTGCTCATAGTTTGCAGACCATGAGAGGCAAGGCCGTTGAGCCTTTGCACTCTTACATCAGTCATCACTAACTGTGGGCCATCCTGTGGGGGAGGAAGTGGGAGACAAGCAGGGCAGAGTCCTCCAGATGAGACGGCTTTTACAAGTTGAGGACAACAACCTGGAGAACAGTGTGAGCCACCAGCTATCCTACACCCACTAGCTGGAGGTAGGGACACTTTTCAGATACTGGGATCAGGATAGGAAATCCTGCAGTCCAGCTGGCACTGCTCAGCTCCACCCCTTTCTCTCTTGTTAGGCTCTCTCCAACTGGTTTGTCACACTTTCTGGAGAAAGGTTTGAGATAAGGGTTAGTGGGAAGCACTTCTTCTGGTCTAGGTGACTTGCCTGGTGGCCTATCCTGGGTCCTCCGAGAGTTCTGAGCCCTTGGTTACTATTTCCATATCATGCTATCTTGCAATACTTGCCTATGTGTAGTAAAAACTGGAGCCAGATGTGCCAAGAATGCCCCGGTGGATCATATAAGCATGAAATATGTTTCTATCTTCCAGTACTGTGTAGCCCAGATCCTAATTCCTCATGAAGATGAGGCCAGTTGCCTGTGTGAAATGCTCCTCTCTTTGTCTGCTGATGCCCTGGCACTAGACGTCCAAGTGATAAGGCGACAGCCATGGCTTTAATTCTTATCAAATCCTTATTGTGTCTCCCAGAGGTGGTTTCTCTTCATCTTGGACCCTGGGAGTTTAAAATCAGGCAGGAGGAAGCTCAAATTCCCTTCGTGGATCACCGAGAGTGAAGGTGACGGGACGCTCCTCTTTCCACTCTTGGCCTTCTGTATCCATGTATATTATCCACTGGACACACAGCAAGTACAATGAGCCTTAGTTTCGGGTCTATACTACTTCTGGAGTATAGTGTTTCATCCTTGCAGGGTGTCATCTACAAGCTGGAACCTCCACTGTGGCTTCAAAAGGGAATTTTTCATCTCACACTATCAATTCAACTGTTTCTGTTGCAGTATAAAGTCGGACCAGTGGATTTTACAGTCACTTGCCCGGTGCCACATACAATTTGCTGCATATGGGATTTGTTGATCAAAAGGATTCCATGATGCTACATCAAATACTCTTTGACTCCCATATAATGGTGCAGACTGGGGCACCGAAAGCAGAAAACACAAACCCATACCCAGATTATAAATCAATCCCCTTGTAGCCAGAGACTGGCTGATCTCTTCATGGGATGGTACCTTCTCAGGAACTCAGTGTTGCTCTTTTGCTGGCAGGTCAAATATTCAGCATGGAATGCTCTGATTTTATCCAGACTAGACTGTCAAAAATATTACCACCATGGTGGTCCGGAATCTTTTTCAGATTTACCTTTCATTTATGGAGCAGTTGTATCTTACTGAATTTTCTACAATATTCATGTTTCTTGTTCATCCAATCTGAATAACATGACATCATCAGTGGATCAACATGATGTTCTGTGGGATGCCCAAAGGTCTCCATCCCTTTGGACTATATTGTGACAAAGAGCAGGAGAATTGACATAGACCTGGGTGAACTCTGAGAATGTATACAGCTGTCTGTTCCAGAAGAACTGGATCTACTTCTGATACTCTTGCCTGGTGGGTATTGGCTGCCTATCAGATTACCTGAGGGGTTTAAAAATTGCAATGTCCACGACATACCCCAGACCAATGAAATCAGAATTTTTCTAAGCAAAAACCAGGCATCAGGAATTTTGAACACTCTGCTGGGAGTTCCAGTATGCAGTAAACTTTGAGACCCCCTGGATAAGGGGCTATAATTCTCTGTACATTTCTCTACCATGTTTATGTACTCTGTCTTTGTAACTGTGGGAGATAGGATTTTCTAAATCTTCATAAATGTACATAGAAACCTCTTCTCTCATAATAAAAACCTTCTTTCTTTTATGTTATTATCTATTTCTTGGCCTCTCATCTACAAAAAACCGAGTGAACATGTCCCCATTAGGATAGCATGTAGCCTCAGAAATGTTTAAATCTTTCATGTGTCCAGTTTTGCAAACACAAGTCCATAAACTAGAAATGTCAAGTCAAGTACTGACTAAATAAGTTAATGTGATGTAGATATTGCAAGGTGCTTGGTCTAGAATCCTGTCAATTAAGGCATTGAAGGACGTCATTATGAGGTGACCAACTCATTTCTTCCTGCCTGGATTTCCCTGATTTTAACAATGAAAATTTGAGTTCTAGATACTCCTTCAGTCCTGGGCAAACAGGCACAATTGTTCATTCTACTATGACATTGGTAACTATATTCATGAAGCCCTGGCATTCATGAATATAGCTCCAAATAAGCTAGCAATACATATATCAACATCAGTGACTCTCAGAGATATATGCCAATCTAAAGATACCAGACAGGAAAAAAATTATATGATATATCATCGTTTTAATTTTTCAATCAATACTAATCAGTGGTTAAAAATTGTTCGAACAGTGGCTGTCTCTGTGGGCCGGAGAGTTTACTCAAGTGACATATGGGAACTTTCAGGTAAAATAAAAATGTTCTCTAGCTTGATAGTTGTGGGGGTTACATGGATGAATCTACTTATAAAACTCATCAACTAGTACACTTGGGATTTGTGTATTTATGTGTATGGAAATTCCAGTAAATGATAAGAAGTAAGAGCTGGCCTAAAGATGTTTATTTATGAATAAATCTACCAAATCGCCATGTTAGCTAATTTGCTCTAAGTGCAATTCTTTTAGTTAAATTACACTTCTATGAGTGCTTTGGTGTTACTTTCCCACATTATGTCACAACTTGTGTGTGTGTGTGTTCTCCCAGTAAACTGTGAACACCCCAGAGGGACACTCTAAATTAAGTTTCTAATCCCAGTGACTGGCAACAAATGGCTCTCAAATTATCCACTAAACAAATCTGTTTGATAAACAAGGTAGGCCCTTGATCCAGGTGCTTCTGCAAAGCTGGAATGAACAGAACAAGGCAGCAAGTCCATAGTGTGGCTCCTGGACCTTTGGCTTCAATATCATTTGGGCCCTTGTCAGAACTGAGTTTCTACCAGCAAAGGGAAACCCCAGAGCAGGTCTGGCAATTTGTTTAACAATCACTCCACATACTTCTCATGCTTGGCTCAAGTAGACCTTCATTAAAATAGAGGCTAAGTAGAAGGCATCATTCAACAAGGTTGAATTTCCTAAAATCTATGAATTAAAGCCAGAGAAGAGGCCCATTTTGGTAACATTAAAACAGCCCTTTAGAAAAGACTTAGAAACTTGTATCAAGCTGAGGTAGGCTAAACATAGGAGCCATTTGAGTTTAAAACTTTCATTTTTCCTTGTCTCTTCTTCACTGTCCTTGGATCTAGTAACTATTGCTGGTACTGAGGGAACACAACCCTCTTCACTAAGCCCTCTGATAAGCAGGAGACACACCAAAGAAGACTGCATGTCCCTGGAAAAGGCTCTGTCAGACCTAGATAACAAATGGGCTCTGCTGAAACTTTCTAAAAAGTTTCTAAAAAGTTTCTAAAAAGACTGTCCAGAAATGTCTCTGATCCCTTAGTCTCTAAATGACAACTGCTTTCTATCATGTCTTTGTGTTAATTTTATGTATAATATTTAATAAAACCTTGTGGACCAGAACTCCCGGAATAAGCAAAAAACTGTAACCAACTAGAAAGCACACAGCCCTAAATTGCTCCAGGTAGTTGTAACTTAGAAGAAAGGCAGGATGAATGTCATCTGAGCACCAGCTTGTGACAGTAACTATTTGGGGTGTAAACACTGATTAAGAAAGAAACTGAGGTCATGAAACATGTAGTCATTATTAATCAGTGGTATGAAAAAGATTTTAAAATTATGTTTTCTTATAAATATTGGATGGAAACTGCTTAAACGAGCAGGTTTTTGGTTGGATACACAGCCTGTTCCCTGATCTCATGATATCCATGATATTAGAACAAAATTCCTTACTTCTCGCGGCTTTCTGCCTCTCGTATTTGGCTGACTAGGAGGAAAGCAGCCGATTGTTGGGTTGGGCTGTAACACACTGACATTTTAGATGGATCCAAAAACCTTGCCCCATGGATATCCCAGCTTGGGAGGTCAGTTCTGACCACAAGAAAATTCTTATAATTTAACACTTTTTACCGTATTGAAAAAATATTTTTAATTAAAAAGAGGTAAGCAATAAAAACGAGGCTATGTCTTCCAGAGTCTAAGAGACCAGCTGGAGAGACATAATACAGACATAGACAGGAAAGAGGCAACTTAAAACACTGTGACTTGTGGTAACACAAACCACACAGGTGACAAGTTCCCAGTCAGGGTTTGAAGATGTGAAACATGACGCAATTTTGAAACATCCAGAGAAATTCATTCCAGTGGCATAGAGGTCACCAAGGTCATATGCACTTAGAGCTGTCTCCTTCCTCATTGCTCAGAAAGAAGCCAAAAGTAGAACTTTTTCCTCTTGTCCCATGGTAGAAACCACATTGAGCAAATGGACTTTCTTCCCCATGATCATTGAAAGAAATGCATCACCGGAAATCTGACTGACCACATCCCATCCTGGCAGGAGATATGAGAGGGGAGAGTGAGAAATGTAATTCCAAATGCCAAGCATCACCTGACGGCCCTCTGAGGTGGAAAGTGAGGAAAATGTGGACTCCAAAATGCCATCAAGGCTCAAACAGGAGAAAGAAGAGATGGGACTGCATTTATGACATCCGGACAGAAAAATGTTGTTTTCAACAAACTTAAAGCATTAAATGGACTAACATTACCATGTAATTATATAATTACTTCGCTATTAAGTAAGGAAACATGAGGAAAATGTGTCAACAACAGGAAAACAGGGCAATATATAAAGGGCCGTGGCCCAAGATGACCTTTGAACTCCAGAACCTTACTCTCCTGGACACCCACTCAGAACCCTCCGACACCATGTGCAACTCCTGTTGTGGCTCTGTCTGCTCTGACCAGATGACCTGTTGCAGGACCACCTGCTGCCGCCCTAGCTGTTGCATCTCCAGCTGCTGCAGGCCCCTGTGCTGCCAGTCCTCCTGCTGCCAGCCCACTTGCTGCCGCCCTTCCTGCTGCATCTCTAGCTGCTGCCGCCCCAGCTGCTGCCAGACCACCTGCTGCAGGCCCCAGTGCTGCCAGTCCATGTGCTGCCAGCCCACCTGCTGCCGCCCCAGCTGCTGCATCTCCAGCTGCTGCTGTCCCTCTTGCAGTGCTTCCAGCTGCTGCGGCTCCAGCTGCTGCCGCCCCTGCTGCTGCCTGCGCCCGGTCTGTGGCCGCGTCTCCTGCCACACCACTTGCTACCGCCCAACCTGTGTCATCTCCACCTGCCCCCGCCCCATGTGCTGCGCCTCCCCCTGCTGCTGAGCCCTCCCTGTAATCTTTATTGCATTGTGGGTGTCTTCGTTAGTCATATAAAGTCCCTTGTAACCAGCCAGGGATTGGAGAAATTGACCCTTACCTGCAAAGCCCTCTTCTCATGTGGCATTCATTGTTGGCAGACAGTTCTGGGAAATGACAGACATAAATGCATTTGCTAACATATTTGGACTCAGACCCAGTGCATTTATTTTTCAATGAACACTGTCTTCATTCTAAGTGTACATGAATTGGGATGATCTCTAATTTTGTATCCATTTCCTAATAAACAGTTGTTTTCCTGATGTTGAAAACCTCTGATTTGTTAATGACTTGATTGTGTTTGTGTATGTGTGTGTGTATGTATTGTAAGACTTCACCTGTCACTTCACATCAAGGGCCATCTTTTTTCGAATGCAAAAGAGCATGTTTAAGGGTGTGGACTCTTGATTCCTGTTACCTGTTTGGAACTGAGACTCCACTGGGCATTTTTCCGGCATGGGGCAAACTGTTTTCACCTCTTCAGGCCTCATTTTCTCTGTCTGTGAACAGAGATAATACATGACGTTCTTCAAAGCTTTAAGAACATAATCCATGTAATATACTCATCACAGGGGCCGGCCCATAATGAATGCAATATAGGCTATAAATAAAGAAATTTGTATGGTTATTATTACTGAAACACTACCGTGGGCTAGAACAATATCTTTACAGAACAGCTAGAACATTTGCATAATTGTCTCACTGCCTTTTACAGCTCAAAATTAGTTTTGGTACATGCCTCAAATACCCGTTAACAACTCCGGTGAACTGAACATCATGAAGTCATCTAAATTTCACCTGACTATATTTCTACTTCCAGCATGTTCCATCATTGGTTGTGTAAGTTTCGAGTGTTCCACCTAGTTTTAGTGCTTTTCTCTTCTTCCTTCCTTCTTCCCTTCCTCCCCCCTTCCCTCTGTCCCTCTCTCCTCTTCTTCCCTCTTTTCTTTCCTTCTATCCTCCCTTCCTCCCACCCTCCCACCCTGCCTTCCTTTCTTCCCTTTTCCTTCCCTCCCTTCCACTCTCCTTCTTTTTCTCCCTCCTTCTTCCCTTCCTCTCTCCTTCCTGCCTTCCTACCTTCCTCTTTAAACATCAAACACGCTTTCAAATTACAAGGTACACCTTCTAAGGCACGTTTTCTAAAAATATATGACAACCATGACAACAAACATTTTTACTGATAGATTTTCAAAATCTTAGAACTTCTAGACTAAAACTCCTTCCTGATTTTAACTTCTAATGTCACTGAGGTTTCTTCAACTTCTTGATGGTTTCTCTCTCCCATTTTGGGCTATCATCTTCTTGCTCAGTATGAGTTAAGAGAATACAGGCAGGACATTTCTTTGAGACTCAGATTTCTCAACACCAAGCCTCAGGTAAGTAGGGTCTTACGGAGCTGTGGAGATGTGTTCACAATATGTACGATAGCACCATGTTTACATAAATGTAAGGGTTTATAAGGGTTGGTTCATAATCCAAAGTAGATTAAAAGCATTTTAAATTCAAAGTTTCTGCACATCGCAGTTTTATTTTGAGCAGTGTTATATTTCCAAATAACAAATGTAGCTAAGAGTTGATTGTTATTTCTGAAATTTTAAAAAGGGAAGTTTTAAATTGTCAAAACACATGAATAGAATTCAACATAAAGTGGACTTCCTCCCAATATAGATTTGGTGCTATATTCTTAGTATAGCATAGAGGTGCTTGAAGAACTTTCAGCTTCATCCTTTTTCACTTACACTAAATTGTTCTGCAGATGACAAACTTACCAGTTCTCTTTCCTTTTTTTCTTTCTCTATTTCCTTCTTCCTTCCTTCGTTTCTTTCTTTCTTTTTCTTTCTTTCATCAGGCTTCACTCTGACACTTGAGCTGGAGTGCAGTGGCATAATCATAGCTCGCCAGTGCCTTGACCTCCTGGGCTCAGGCGATCCTATTGTCTCAGCCTCCTGGGTAGCTGGTAGTACAGGCACACGCCATCACTCCAGTCTCAGCCTCCCAAAATGCTGGGGTTGGAGGCATGAGCCATCATGTCCTACCAGACTTGTGTTTTCACACACCAGAATTAACATATCTTTTATCCTCCCATGAGGTCTTCTTTGACAACTGCTAATTACAGGATGCAGGCCATGGTTTTAACATTTATTAGCTATGGGTAATTCAAAGAATGTAGGCTTTATATCATCTTTTGGTATTAAAGTATATGAGGCTTTATATTTCCTGATTTTACAGAAACTGGGCCATCGCAGGGAGATGGCACCTGCATATGGGTAGTAAAATAACTATTTGTTGTTCAGGAAATGCCACAGAGAAAGCCCAGAGCCCATGGCTCACTAGGGCAAGAGGTAGGTCCTTCAGGTCTGAGGGCCTGGGCAGTGAATTGGGTGAAGTATCCAGAGCGTGGGGTGCGGAACTTCTTAGGATTAGTACACACAAGCACTCAAGGGCAGTCATTGCCTGCAGGAAAGGTTGCAGTGCTCTGAAAGGTCAAAGGTGATCCCGGAGACATTGTGGTGGAGGAAACCAAAGCAGAGAGAAAGTGATGATGGGAAGTGTGACTGGGGTGATGAGTCTGCAGTCACTTCAGCTTTACGTAAGTGCACGGTGGGATGAGGTTGAAGATTGAGGCATTGATGAGTCTGCCCTTCACCCGGTTTTGATCGGTCATGCTAAATACATACATTTGGAATTGCTCAAGTTCTCCCAGGTAGTAAACATTAAGAAATAGTATTCCAGAAAAGTAGCAAGAGATGACTGTTTGGATTAAGAAAATAACTGAAACAAGAGTTTTAATTTTTAAATTTCCATTCACTCTCATTTTTAAATCTATTTTTTTAAGAATCTAGGGTACATGCCTAATTTTTTTTTGAGTGGAAGTCTCAATACGTCACCCAGGCTGGAGTGCGGTGGCACATTCACGGTCACCCCAGTGTCAAACTGCTGGGCTCCAGCAATCCTTCCGCCTCAGCCTTCCAAGTAGCCAGAACTACAGGTGTGTGCTACCACACCCGGCTAATTTTTTAAATTTTTAATTTATTGTAGAGGCGAGGTCTCACCATGTTGCCCAGGCTGGTCTCAAACCCACAGGTTCAGGCAATCCTCTTGCCTCGACTTCCCAAAGTGCTGGGATTACAAGCTTGAACCACAGTGCCCGTACATACATAAATATGATGCTAGTTATATTGCAAGATAGTGAGGCTTGGGCTTCTACTGAGCCCATCACTCAGGTGGTGAGCATGGGGTCCATGGCTAGTTTTCAAGCTTAACCTGTCCCAATAGGAGTGTCCCAATGTCTGCTGTTCCCGTCCTGTGCCTGCCTTGCACTATCTTATAACAAAACTGTCTGGCTAATAGGTAAGGAAGACAGTTCCTAGACGTTAACATCAACCTCTCAGTGATTAAACAAGCCAGTTCCCCCAATTGTTTCAGCTGCACTCACCTAAGTCAGAACTTGATGGAAGCTCAACAAACCCAGTAAGACTCACACCATGGCAGACTCAGCTAACGCATTCTTTCCAATGCCAGTTTCAGAGTCCAGCTAGGTGCAATTTACATTCTCACAGCAAGAAACCCAATATGCATATACTCTTTTGCCTCACAAATACTTGAAGTCACTAGCATATGGCCACAACCCAGTGTGTCAGGCTTGGACTTGATAACCATTAAGAGCAAGTTAATACATTGATGCTTGTGGTACTAGTGCATAACAAATCACTAGTGAAACAAATAGACTCAAATACATAAAAAAATTTAGTGTGTGAAAAAGTGGCATTTTAAATCAGTAGAAGAAAGATGTATTATTTGATCAATGATGTTAAGCTATGGTCATATCTGATTATAAAACATTTTAACCTCATTTTATATCTGTATGAATTCCTACCGGACCAAATGTTTAAAAATATGAAAGCTAAAACCTTGATGTTAAAAGAAAATATGGGACAATGTTTATTTAAAAGTGTAACTGGAAAGACTTTCCAAATTATGACACATACCTTGGAAGCCATCAAAGAAAATAATTTATAAATTGGACTGCATCAAAAGCAACACGAGTGCAAAAAAATTTTCTTTCTCATGTGATTTTGCAGAGAGGCAATGTGTGTAGTAGTGATGAAAATATGGACCAAGTACTGGGCTGGCTGGTATCAAATCGTGATTCCCCTACTTACTGGGTTTATCCTCCCTGTGCCTCAGTTTCTTCATCTGGAGGGAGGGGATTAGAATGAATTATAATTACCACAGTGAAATGTTGGGACTAGTCCATGAGCTAATATGTGTCATGCACTGCAACAATAGAAAAACATGTTCGTTTTTATGTTGTGATTTCCGCATCCAGAAAAGTGCTCAGCACACAACACTCAGAGTCTGCAGAAGAAAAGAAGTAACCAGAATTCCATACCCCAGTGTGTTTTTATTTGCTTAGTTTCCTGAGGGAGAACAAACAGAATTAGTGCATAATTGGATCAAATATCCCATTCTCATCTTTTGATGTAAATGTCTCTTCCTTATCTTTTTATGGCTTCTTTTTAGGCTCTTGGTTTTTAGGCATAACTTATCCTCTATGATTTATTTATTTTTTAAATTTTTAAATTATTAAAAAATTATTAATAATTTAAAATTTTACCTACCTAAGGAGGTAGGGTGGGGCATTAATTATATACACTGAAGGTTACTGAATATGTAAACCAACAGTTCAAATGACATGTGTTTTACAACTTTTAGGAAGAACTTATCTTATGCCTCTATTTTCAATTGGTTTCAAGTCTCCACTGGCTCTTTCTTTGAGAGATATTATTATTTAATAAATCAGCTTATATTTAATCATAAAGATAATAAATTACCTTTTTTTTTTTTTTAGAAAGCAGGAATTATTGAGAGGACAGAAAATCTCCCACAGTGAGAGGGGACCCAAGGGGGTTGCCCAATTTATCTTTTTTTATCCTCCTTCCCAACACCTGATGTTGAGAGTTCATCTCCACCCAGCCTTTAACCAGTATCTCTCCCCCAGGAGTGCTCTGGCATTTCTAAAGGCAGACCAGACGTTAAAATAAATGACAGATAACATATGTGTCACCTTACATTCCTGCCTGAAGACTTTTCACAGCTCCGTGTCATTTCATACAGGATTGGAGGCTGCCCGTGTTCTCTCCCACATTCTATCAACCTCAGCTTGTTCTCATTACTTCTCAAAGGACCTTCCAATGTACCTCTTTCATCGTCATAAGCCGGACTGTTGCCCATCTCCATTCTGGGCTCCTTCCTTTGAATTCCCTTTCTCTCTACCCATTTAACTGGTACGTATTCTCAGAGGTCAGTGTGGGCCCCTTGGAAGTCATAACAAAATTTTCATTCATTAAACAGACATCTCCTTAATCAGGAAGTCATTCTATTACAGGCTCTGGTACACAAAGAGCGATAAGGCATAGTCCCTGCACTAACAGAGTTAGTATTCTAGAAGGAGCTAATAGACAAATGCATTTCTGATCGTGAGATTTTAAGGCCCATGCATATGTAAGGCACAACAGAAGTGCAGTGGAGGAAGGACTTGGGTTTGTGTGGGGCCAAGGAAGATACTGGAGGAAAATGGCATTTAAACTCAGCAGTATCAGACAAGCAAAAGAATGCTGAGTTCACAAGAGAGCACCCCGCTCCTCAGGCAGAGAGAATTTCATGAAGTCATTTTTCCTTTCCTTGCATTTTTTCCCCCCTGAATGCCTGTGGCACTTAAACAGACTCCTCTGTGTGAGAACATGTAAAATAAGGAATATCTCTTTCATATTCTCCTCAATGCTTCTAAAAGAAAAATTTTAGACATAAGTGATACTATAAAAACTGCTAGATTTTTAAGCTTAGAATGTATTAACAATATTTTAATAAAATGTCAATAAAACATAACTATGACATATTTTGATATTTCAAAAGGCAGAGTAAAACTGTCATCCAAATAACTCTGCCTCAGCCTAGGGGACATTTCTAAAGATTGACACAGGCCAATTCTAGATGACTCTTTGCTCCTAAAAACACTGAGTCGCCACAAACTATTTCATGGTGCACCAGGGTGCTGAGAATTATACAGCTTGTAATAGCCTAGGAATTTTGTTATTTCAATGACCACCCAGAAAACACACAATGAATCATGAATTTTCTCACTTCTCACACTCAGAAAGGGAAGGTTACTTTCTTTTTCCTCTTAACATTCCATCTGACTGACACATACATTTCTGCATAGGGATCTAACCCCCATCAGCTCTCCCAAAATCATGCCAAGGTTACCAACAGACAAGAGAGGGACCCTTCCATGTCAAATGATGCCCAGGGTCTGAAGTCATGTGACACTGAAACCAAGGGAAGCAAAACAAGAGGTGACTCGTGGGAACACCAGGGTACCTGAGAAAAGGAAAGCAATTATTTTCTATATGTTGGGAGTTTTTGTTGAAAAAACACAATGATACCATTTCTTAATTGCATTTGTATCATATAAACAAAAACAAGGAAAGAGTCTTGCCATAATCAAAAGACCCCTCAGTTGAGTATAAAAGGGGACATGTGTCAAGGAGACACTCAAACTCAAGAAACTTACTCTCCTGGACACGCGACCAGAACCTCCACCCTCTGACACCATGTGCAACTCCTGTTGTGGCTGCGTCTGCTCTGACCAGGGCTGTGGCCAGGAGACCTGTTGCAGGACCACCTGCTGCCGCCCCAGCTGCTGCATCTCCAGCTGCTGCAGGCCCCAGTGCTGCCAGTCCACCTGCTGCCGCCCTTCCTGCTGCATCTCTAGCTGCTGCCGCCCCAGCTGCTGCCAGAATATCTGCTGCGGGACCCCGTGCTGTCGCCCCAGCTGCTGCGTGTCCAGCTGCTGCAGGCCCCGTTGCTGCCAGTCCACCTGCTGCCGTCCTTCCTGCTGCATCTCTAGCTGCTGCCGCCCCAGCTGCTGCCAGACCACCTGCTGCAGGACCCAGTGCTGCCGCCCTAGCTGCTGCATGTCTAGCTGCTGCAGACCCCAGTGCTGCCAGTCCGTGTGCTGCCAGCCTACCTGCTGCCGCCCCAGCTGCTGCATCTCCAGCTGCTGCAGACCCCAGTGCTGCCAGTCCATGTGCTGCCAGCCCACCTGCTGTCGCCCCAGCTGCTGTATCTCCAGCTGTTGCAGGCCCCAGTGCTGCCAGTCCACCTGCTGCCGGCCCACCTGCTCCTTCCCCAGCTGCTGCAGCTCCAGCTGCTGCCGCCCCTGCTGCTGCCTGCGCCCAGTCTGTGGCCGCGTTTCCTGCCACACCACTTGCTACCGCCCAACCTGTGTCATCTCCACCTGCCCCCGCCCCATGTGCTGCGCCTCCTCCTGCTGCTGAGCCCTTTACCTGAACTCACCGTCTCCCCTTCAATTCACTCATCCCAGAAGCAGACTTTGTGTCCCTCACAGATGACTCAGAAGAGGCTATTTCTACTAACTGTGTGTCCATATCTTGGCCTTAGTTCGACTCTCCCTTTTGTTGGCTGTTTCCCCATGTTGATCCAAGTATAAAATTATACAATATTCATAGCAAGAAAGTAATAGATTTACCCCAATGACACATCCTAGTTTGTGATACCTGCGGTTCTCCTGTTCCAAACATGGAAATTCCTGCAGTGCCTGTGGGGGCAAGGATGTCTTGCTCTCAGATCTGAAAGACTGTTGGCTCCATCCTCTATTTAATTTTACAAAGATGTTTCTGTATCTTATCTTCACTGCTTCTGAATAAAGCTTCACTTTCCTGGCATTGAAATACAATTTTCCTGTGTCTGTTGCCTTGTAATAATTATTTTCAGTTACTGGAAATTATATACCAAACACAATTCAGTCAAGCTTTCTTATTCCTGCTTTCACCTTCGAAAAATCCCAACATGGTAGTGACTTAAAAATATAAAATAGAAATAGGGACAATACATAGATGTTTCTGAAAGCACTGAAGAACAATAAAATTTTTTAGATGACTTTTGTAGGGGTATGGAGAAACAAACATTATATCCCACAGCAAATCTGTCTTCAATTTTTGAAAGCACATCTTCTTTTCAGTCCCACTCCTCTCTGATTCGCTTCAGACTCCCATTCTTTTTCTCTCTTCCTTTCTTTCTTTCTCCCCTTCCCCATTTTATTGTTCTACCCCTGTCTCTTTTCTTCCATTCTTCCCAAACTAGAGTCTACTTCTTAGAACTTTTCTATCTCTCATGTAATTCAATAGATCACACTCTCTACTTAATTTCATCTCCATCCATTAGCAACAAAATAATCATCTTTTGGAAAAGCCAGACTTCTGAGAAGTTGGAAGATAGCAGAAAGTGTCAAATCCTGAAATTTTAATATCTCTCTACCTTAACGACTACTCTGAGATGTGTATTTAATAACAATGGTCTACAGGTGCTTTTTCAACAAATACTATGAGAAATGAAGTAACTGGTAAGAAACCGATTAATGAACTAGCTTGGTTTTTAGGTAAACCCAGAATATTCCCAATTTTCTGCAAACTCCATCTTAGTGGATAAAGATTTAAAAAATAAATTTTTCATTCATACTGGTAAAAGTAGGACACACCTTTAGGAAATGTTGTACTAAATGCATATTCTAAGAGGTGCAGGGCTAATAAGTAACACAGTGACATTGAATCATGGAAGTCTCTAACTTCCATAAATTCTACTACATGAGCAGTACCTTGAAATGTAGAGGGGCCTTATTCCTCCACCTCCCTCACAGCACAGAACTCCTGATGGATAAGAGGTGGTATGTGAAAATTACCTGAACCTTCAGTTGGTCTCAGCATACAAAATGTTTTTCAGTGCTGTGAGACAGTCTATAGTCTTTGGGGTCATGGAGAAGAGATATCTGAGGATAAGACATCTACACTCTGAGCTGTGGAACCTTCCAAGGCTTGTAAGTTGAAAAAGGAGGAACAACCACCACAGGAGACTTGAGATGAGTCACCAGAGCTATAAGACAACAACTAGTAGAATTAGAGGTCTGCAATCCAGAGGCAGGAGAGCTGTGGCTACTTAAAGAACTAAAGGACAGAATTTCACTCCCTGTTGTGACAAAGTGGCATCTCAACAAGGATAACTATGACAACCGGACAAAATTAAGGAAAACAGTTGCTCGTAAGCATCAGGCACCTACAGACCTATGTAGGCAGGAATGAGAACCATGGTCTCAGAAGAAAATGAAAACCTTTCAAGTGGAAGTTAAAATCACCTCAAGCCTCTACAGTTTTTTATATATTATTTACAGTTTTTTATATGTTATTTATGGCACTTGAAACTAAATTATCAAGCTTGCCAGAAAAAAAGAGACCAAATGAATAAACTCAAGAAGAAAAGACAATCGAAACAGAATCAAAGATGATGCATCCATAGGTGTTAACACTCATGTGAGAATAATTAGAACTAATGTGCTTAAAATAATAAACAAAAATGTGAATTTCATTAGAGAAGTAGATTTTTTTTTTTTTGTCTGAGTTGGAGTCTCACTCTGTCGCCCAGATTGGAGTGCAGTGGCCGATCCCGGCCACCGCAGCCTCGACCTGCTGGGCTCCGGCGATCCTTCCGCCTCAGCCTTCCAAGTAGCCGGAATTACAGGCATGCGCTACCACGCCCGACTGATTTTTTTATTTATTGTAGAGATGAGGTCTCGCTGCCCAGGCGGGTCTCGAACCCGCGGGCTTGGGCAATCCACTCACCTCAGCTTCCCAAAGGCGCAGGATTATAGGCTGAGCCACCGAGCCCGGCTGAGAAGTAGATTTTTAAAAAAATAAAGTCCAGTGAATATTCTAAAATGGAAACCCTCAAAAACTGAAATTAATAATTCATAAATGGTTTAACGCAGATCAGATAGAGGGGAGGAAGAGCAAATTGGAAGTAGAAAATATCCACACTGAAGTGCAGAGAGAAGAAAAGTTTAAAAATGCAGAAAATAGCATAAGACTCATGTGGAACATAGCGAAAAGGTTGAACATACATGTAAATGTGAGTTCCAGAAAGAGACGAGAAAGAATAGTCTAGATGTTATAAACAGATACTGGAGGGCAATTTGTCAGAAGTGATGACAGACTTCAAATCACAGATTCCAGAATGTCTTTGAACCCCAACCAGAGTGAATAAAAATAAAACATTTAAACGCATCATGGATAGTTGTTGAAAACCAAAGATTGGCTGGGCACTATGGCTCATGCCTATAATCTAAGCAATTTGGAAAGTTGAGGTAGGGGACTACTTGAGCCCATAGTTGGAGACCAGCCATGACAACACAGCAAGACCTCATATCTACAGGTCATATATTTCATAGTCCCAGCTATTTGGGAAGCTGAGGTGAAAGGATCACCTGACCCTAGGAGACTGAGGCTGAAGACAGCCAGGATTGTACCACTGCACTTCAGCCGGGACAACAGAGTGTGACACTTACTGACTCAAAAAAAAGAAAAGAAAAGAGAAAGAAAGAAAGAAAGAAAGTAAGAAAGAAAGAAAACCAAAGATAAAGATAAATCATGTAAGCAGCAAGAAACTGATATAGCATGAAAATTCTTCAAAAAATTAAAAATAGAACTACTATATCAAATCCAACAATCTCACTTTTGTGCATATATTTGAAAGAAACAAAATCAGTATCTTGAAGGATATTTGTGCTCCCATTTTATTGCAGCATTACGCAAATAGCCCAGATATAGATTCAACATAAGTGTTCATTCATGGACGAATGGATAAAGAAATTATGGTATATATACAAAGAAAATGGAATATCTCAGCTGTAAAAAGAAAGAAAATTCTGCTATCTATGACAACATGGATGAACCTAGGGGACACTATGCCAGTGAAACAAGCCAGTCAGAGAAAGAAAACTACCACACAATGTCACTTAGTTTCCTTAAATCTGAGACATTTCCTTAGCCTGTCTTTTTTTTTTTTTCATTTTGAAAAAGCTATTTACTTTTTTCCAAATATTATTCCAAATATGTGTTTTACAGGCAAGGGTCAATCTGAATCAGAAACATTCTATAGAAGCAAACCATTTTTACAGACATTGAGAATAATTCTAACAGAAGATAAAGCTTACATTTATCTAGATGTGGCTACGTTCCACAGAAAATTTCAGCATCCAAAGTGCTGAGACAAAATGACTGTGGCTCTTCTAACCACATGAAATATTGACAATCTTCCCTTATAGCCTACTCTTAATTGTTAGTTGAGGTGCCAAATAGACGGCATTCTGACCTTTAGAAGTAGGGCTCCGCTGGACAAGGTGGGGAAGTCAAGCATCAGAATGAATTCAACTTTAGAAGAACAAACTGGCTTTGACCCCAGTCAAACCCAAATTCCAGCCAGTGGCCCATCAGAGATAAATACAAGTTGTACTATCACATTTACAAGGCTATGCCACTTAACACAATTAAGACCCATTCAATTCAAATTAAAGCTAAGGATAATCCCTTCACTAGTTTTGTCTTCAACATATCCCATTTTTATGAAGGCGCCATGTCATAGCTCAACTCATAGTGGGGGAAGTTCCCAGAAGGAGCCATCCTAAATGATCTGTCCAACCCTTTCTTTACCCTGCCCTCCCACTTCCCACCTTATCAGAGAGATAGGGTTTCTGCCACTGTCTCGTGGAAATTAGTTCAAAATGACAACAGAGAAAGCTCATTCCATGAGCAGTGTTTGGCTTTAAGCCAAAGGGACAAACCCCTGCCCCCCAAAAAAGAATAACAATGAATTCCATACTACCTCTTCTACACCTTGGGAGATCTGCATCTAAAAGCTCCCAACAATGACCAGCACAGGGCGCTGATACTATGTTACTAGAGAAGGAGATACACATAGTTTTAATAAAACCCTCATGCACAGTTAAACATGATCAAAAGCCTGGAGACTGCTAAAAGGAGTCATGAGTACAGGAGGCTGCAGAGTAGAGTTCAGGTGTGTCCTTTCTTACAGCCAGTCACTGCTGGGAAATAATAGGCAGATGTGACCTCACTTGAGCATTGGAGAAGCAAAAAAGTTGCCTTGTCCCAGGTTGGTAGCAGACTTGCTTTTGCTCCCAAATCTGGGAGTGTTCTTGATGAGGGTGGAGCGGACTCTCTGCGACAGGGAACTAGATGAAGGAGTCTTAAGAAGCTGATGCTCAGGAGTGGTCACAGGTCCCAGTAAACTCACTTTAACATCTGGGGTCTGTGGTGTTGAAAAGGCGTTTGTGTTTTCAATGACACGCAGGGGTCAATGTTCTCTTGCTCTGCCATCATGTACTTACTTCAATATTCCAGAGGCAATGAAAGCAGGCACTTCACCACTTTGGGTTGATGCCTAGTGTCCTGTAACATTGTAACTGAGTCTG